GCGATCTTTGCCACAAAATGCGCGTCCACGTGTGAAAAATGAGATTTCAACTCTCTAAATTTGAATTAGTAGAAAACTACTAATTCAATAGCGAGAATTTAGCAACTAATTGAAAATAGTTAAATTCTACTGAAATATCAGTTAAAATAACTAATTGACAGTTAAATAATTTGAGGTTATGTTTGAAAATAATTGAAATATTAGTAGATTTCGTTTCATTATTGTTTCAGTAACGTTTTCTACTGATAATTAGTGGAATTTAACTGTTTCAGTTATTTCTTACTGTCAATTAGTTAATTTTTACTAATTAATGTAGTGAGAATTAAGCCAGGTTTTGACTGCTAATCAGTAGTTTTCTACTAATTCAGATTTAGAGAGAAAATTACTGCCTAGCGCGGAAATATTGTTCGAGACAGTAATAATTTTTTCTTTTTATCATTTTGCAATAATTTCTATCGAATCATGAAAAATAGAAACAAAAAATAGATTTTAAAAATTCGTAATTTTAAATACTTTTATTTTGCTTTAGTAAAAAAAAATTATTAGAAAAATTTGTCAATAAAAGTATTCCATAAATATTTTTGGCTTCAAGGAAAGAGTTTTTTTTTTTAATAGACGCCGGCGATTGACAATTATGGAAGACATTAAGACTCATTGGTCTACTGACTCACCTACTAATGAGGCAGATGAGATTTTCTTTCTTTTAGGCGTTAGCGAATCAAGTATGACGAATCTATTTTTTTTCTCCTCGTCATTTAGAGATATTTATTATTATATAATAATAAATTCATTTTTTATACTAGCAAATTAGATTTTTTTAACAAATAATTAAAAAATTACTAATTAAAATTTTTTAAAAGTTCAACCCACTTATTCGTCTTCGAAAGGAAGAAAAAAAAAACTGGAATCTTGAAAACAAGTTGAGAGTATTTTCCATAACAAGCTGTACCCATTCGGTCACTGGTACGTTTGCTTAGTAATTACCTCCTCCTCGAGTAAAGAATTCGAGGTCAGTATCGAAACCCAAACTGAATATCATAATGTGATACTTATACACATTTATTGTATATGTGAAATAATGGTGTACTCCGTCCTTGACTGCAGGCTTTGTTATAGTATTATCATCTCAAACCCACGTGTCTAAAATAAAATATATGAAAGAATGAAGAAATGTTATCCGCAAGCAAATCTCAATGGTGATGATCTGAGACAACTTATCGGTTCTTTACCTTTCAAGATTTTCTGCTTCTGCAATATTATGACACGTTTCCTTATAAGATTGAGCTCTCGAATTGAAAATTCAAATTTTTTTTCTTTTTTTGAAGATAGCATCATTTTTTTTCTTGAATTTCGCGTCTTAGTCACTTCATTGGCATATAAAGATTTGTATAAGAACACAACCGCAATTTAAATCTATATGATTCGTCATTTGTCTGCAAGAGAGGTATATGACGTTATCGTTTTCTTTGGAGCGTTCAACAGAAGTTGAGAAAAAATAATGAATCTCTTCTTTACAGCTCTCTCTTTTCTAAATACATCTCTTTGACATCAACTATATGAACATATTTCATTATTGTTCAAGATGCTCTCACGATACAGCGAAAATTTTGATTTTTTTTCTTTCCTTTTACTAGAAAGTTAGAATTTAAGTAAAAAAAAAAAATAGATTTTTAAATATAAAATGTTTGAAGAAATAAAAAATTTATTTCTGACAAATAAAACTTTTATTTACGGCAAATAAATAAGTTAGTAGATTCTGAGACAATTATATACGTTTATTTAACTCAAATATATTTTATTTGGTTCAAATAAATCATTTCTCTGGGTGTAGATATTATATTTAAATAGTAATGTTGGACTCTATTTTGCAACCCAAAAGATGTAAAATTGCCGAATGGAATGTTTTGTGGTTTTTTAGGGTCCTTAATGTAATACAAATTAAACTAGATGTTTTTTTGTTAGACGTTTCGACCCTTGGTTTTTTTTAATTATATTTAAGGACCCTAAAAACCACAAAACATTCCATTTAGCAATTATATTTAAAACAATATTTTGTAATATTCGTACATAAAGAAGTTGCAAAAAAAAATTTTGTTCATTATTTTGGCTCATCTAAAATTTAGATTATATTTGAACGATAAAATATATCAAAACTTTCGGAAACGTTTTAGAGATTGTGAAATATTTTATTATAATCTGATTTTCTAGAATTTATCGAGTCGTAATATAATGTTTATAATCAATTAATGAGAAAGTGTTTTCAAACTCTATAACCTATTTTTACAATTCGTCCTTATTAAAGAATCGTTACGTCATTTTATTATATATATATATAAAAATATATATTATCTCGCTTTTAAAGGCCGTATAAATTTTCAAATATAGAAAAGAATTTCGTTAAATTTTTTTTTTATAATATATAACTATTATTTAAATATTTCATATATATATAACATTTTCACTAAGAGAAAAATATGACTCATGTTTAACGAATGTTGATTATTCGTATATATATATAAACGTTTGCATAATTTCCCATCAATGAAATACCTCCTATATATTTCTCCAAAGAACTGGAAATAAAATATTTTCCGTTTGAAAGTTAAAATATACATTAACTTTTATCAATGACGTCACATTAGTCTACTGTTGAAACTCTCTTGCAAACTAGACAAAGTGCGCAAACATTGAAATTGAGAACGTTTTTGTTTGATATTTTATTCCTGAGAGTTTACTTGATTTACAGAAAATTGTAATTTACAACTTAGAAAGTTGAAAATTAGAGAAAGAAATTTTTATAAAATCTTTAAAATCAACTGTCAATACCATAATTAATATTATTTTTATTATTCAATTAAATTTTTTTAATGATATAGAATTTGAGATTAATAAATAAATTCAAAAAGTCGAATGCTTTTTTTTCATTTGTTTGAAATATCTAATTTAAAATTTGTTTTTTTTGTTATTTTAAAAGCGTTGTCGAAATTTTATATCTAATTTAAAATTTGATTATTTTTTTATATACTAAAAGCATTTTTCTTTTTTTTTTTTAAACTACCTACACCAACTTTAAGCATTGTGTCTGGACAAATTGACCCTAATCGACATGCGTACTTAACGTATTGCATATATATATATATATATATATACATTGACCGGCTGAGTGAATTTTGTATGCATTGTACTGAGGAAGCAAATGACGCACCCATTTGATTACATTTATAAACACGTGTTTCAGGGTGTTGGGACTTTTAGTTAAAAATCAGGAATCGTGTCCATAATTGTCAGTTTATTACCGCATTGCCACAATTACTGTATACACGTATATTTTAACTAAAAACTACTGTTAGTATATTTTTATTTAATTAACGTATCAAATTTTTGACATTAAAAAGAGAGAGATTCTACAAAATTAATTTCAATGGTAATTAGTTTTCCACAAAAGTTTTCTAATTAACTTTTTAATATTTAGCATAAAATAAAACTAAAATAACAAAAAATAGAATTCGACAAAATTTTTTAATGAAATTTTTTTTAATTAAACATTTAAATTAGTGATTAATAAATAATTTTTAAATAATATTTCTTAAAATTTTTTATTAAAAAAATATTTAACGAAAAAATTAAAAAAAAAATTATTTTGAAAATAGAATCTTACTCAAAAATTTCATTTGATTATTAATGGTTAATTAGCATAAAAGCCAAAATTAAGCTTTCACAAAAAAAAAAAATTATTCTTTTAGCTTTAAGAGCTCTAATTGGATGGGCAAGCCTTCTCTTATAATGAAATCTATCAAGAAGATCTAATTTAGGAATAAATTATTTTCTCCTCATAAATTTCATGGATCTTGGCGCTTTTCATTAGTTTTTTTTTTCACCTCCCCGTTCTATAACTCTAATATACAGAATCGTGCACTAATTTTCTGATTGAGAAAAAAATTTTCAGTGCAATTACAAAAAGTAGCACTACATATATATGTGTGATAGTTTATAGTTTCTTGAAATGCTATATTCTTTTGAAGAAATTAAATTTGCTTGTTTTCTATATTGAAGATTCTCACATTCAGTGAGATCTATCATCTTATCTTAATTTGTTCCTATATATGATGCTCTGAATGAGAGTTTTGTTCTCGTGTAGAAAAAGAGAAAGAGAGATAGATAGAGAGAGCAGAAGAGTCATCAATTTGCCTGAGAAATTGTTCAATTCCCATTGCATAATTTACACACACACACATATATAATACATTTAAAAATTTATATATTGTGACGGATATCCGGACCTGACGTAAAAAAAAAAGTTGGTGATGCGTAGGACGATTCGCGCGATTAAATGCACTTTACTTCTTTCCGTTATATAGTTGTTTTAAATTCGTTCACTGAAATTAAATTAAATTTTCTTTTTTCCACTGGAAAGTATATATTATTTTAAGTTGAATGTTTCGTTTCAAAAATTTCCCAATATTTTTAATTTTATTTTATTTTGAGACAAAAATTCATTGAATTGAATATTCGATACATTTTTTTTTTATTTAATTGAATTTCAGGAGAATTTTTATTTATCATCAAATTTTCAATTGACAGAATTGTTATTTAATAAAATTTTCATTTTTTGTTAAGTCGAAATTTTACATTTAGCAGAATTATAAATTTTTATTTGTCACAATTTTTATATTTAACAAAAATTTTCAAGGACATTTCGATTAAATAAAAATTTGACCAACTATAACAAAAATGATAAATGAAAAATTTGTTGTATAAAAATCCTGTTAAATATATCAAATTTATTTTTATTTAGATTTTAAAAATACATAAAAATTACTTTTCTTTTAAAATAGTATATTTTATCGATTATTAAAATATTTAATAATTCCGATATTTTTTTTAATTAACGAATTTTTGAAATTAAATTAAATATTTGAAACAAAAAAATTCACGATAATTGCGATATTTATTCTCTGATACTGAAATAGAATTCTAAAATGTGATTTTAATTTTTTCAGGCTGAATCCGAGGTCGCTGCACTCAATCGTCGTATCCAACTTTTGGAGGAAGACCTCGAAAGATCAGAGGAGCGTCTTGCCACAGCCACTGCCAAATTGGCGGAGGCATCACAAGCTGCCGATGAGAGTGAACGGTAATGCCTTTTACTCAATCATGTCGCATTTATTGAATCTCCTTTCACCGATGGGTTTTTTTTTTTTTTTTTTGCAATTACAATTGGACGAGTGAAAGAGAAGTCGCGGTGGGAGAAGAGAAAAAAAAAGAGAATTTGACTGATGTGATATTACACTACCGCGATAATACAATATATAAACAAGAACCACAATGAAATAGCGATTACATAATAATGAATTGGCGCCAATTTATTATAGAGGGGGACTGCTCGTGATTCATTGAGATTCAGGAAAAGGATTGGTTTTGCCTTCAAAAATTGTTCCCCTATTTTAAATTGATCAATCGAATCTATTATTCTACAAAAAAAAAAGAATAAGTTCAATTAATTGGCCTCTTATCAATAAATCGTTTGAGGCTATTTTTTTTATAATGGAATATTTCAATGAAAATTGCAATTTACATTTGATTTGAATACGACGACTTTTACAAGTGGTTGTTTTATCTTCTCTTTTTCCGCTTTTATAACGATTGAATTATGACTTTGTATCAAAGTCTCTCATGTATATATATTTCTATTGTGGAAAAGATAATCTCTCTCGCCTTCTCTCTGTTTGTTACTTTTATAAATTATTACTTCTCATGTGTCATCTTAATAGTTGAGAAGATCTGCTTTACCGATAATTGTATGTAATAACTGGCGTAAGATGCGGATAATAATAGAGCATTCAACGAGAGATTACTTTAACACAATGAAGTCCACGAGAATATCGGGCGCACCAATCACTTTTAAACTGGAAAGTTGTTAAACGGTTTATTGCCTATTTACTAACAAAATGGGCGATAAGAATTTTTTTTTTCTTTTTACTTGGTTTCTATAGTAATATCACAAAATTTTCCTGTTGAAAGTGTTTGGTCTCCTTTTTTTTTATCGCGCTTTGCAATTTTACAATTATGAAAATTAATCAATCCTTTTCTTGAAAGAGTGATAATTTTTTAATGAGTCGAGTTTATTCTTAATTTAATTTAATTTATTAATTTAATGAAATAATTAATTTTTTTTAATTAATTAAATTTTATGATGAAAAAATTGTGTTGAGAACCTCTGCAAAAAAATGTTTTTTTTTTTTTTAACTCAGAGATTCTTTGAAAGATTTCGCAAGAAATGAACTGCAGTTATCAGGTTGTTGTCCCTGCGTGTCTTTGTAGTTCTCGCATGACACTCGTCCGATAATTGCCAACCCAACGGTGTTTTCATTTTAAGGTTTCTCTAATTTTTTATGGCGAGACAGAGTTTCGCTTTGATAAATAGATATATATGCTTTCCTTCTCTAAACTCCCTAACAACATTGATCCATGTCCGGTATCCTTGATCGGTTAAGAGATCAAGTTTCGAGTTGCCTCTTTTACATTCTCTAAGGATTCAATTTACATTCTCCAAGATTGTTTTTCAGTAAATTTTATGAGAGTAAAAATTTATCAAAGAAGTGTGTCAAATATTATATATTAATTTATTACGTGGGATTTTTATTTATTTTCATTTCTAAATAAATAATAAAAAATTTAATATTAAATAAATTATTATTATTATTGTTAAATTAATATAGGCTCCTCTTTCAATTTACTAACATTATTTTCTTATTTTTATTTTTTTATCGAAATTAACTTTTCAAACATGAACTTTAATATTTAAAAATAGATATGAGTAAAATTTTATGTAAATTTCTGATATATTATTGAAAAGGCCTCGATACTGGAGATCTTAACTCAATTTTCCTTTTCACATTCCTCTTGTCAGTTACAATAATATGTTTTTATTTCGAATTCTTTGAAAAAAGAGGCAATAATCACGTTTGGAAAAAAATGTTCGGAATAAAATAAAAATTTTAATTTGTGAAAATTTTAAAGAAAGTAAAATAAAAATTAAGATTTATTGAGTATTTAAATTTAAAAGTTATAAAAAATTAAATACTTTTTATTGTCTCTTTTTTTAGTTAATGAACTCATTTCCTATTACAATGTATACATAATGAGTGATCTGTCTGAGGTTACTTGAAAAAGAAACACGATCTTATCACCTTTGTTTTCATTCTGATAAATCGATTTATACACTGTAAGAGGAATTGGTTTCAAAGTTTGGAAATCATTTCATTTTCTTTTTTTTACTGTTTTATATAAATAATGTTTATTACCTTCTTTTATGTGACACACGGCGAAGAAGTTGAGTTTTTCTAAATTATCACGAATCTGAAGTAAAATAATAACAACTTTTTTACTTTTTCTTCACGAACTTGCAAATTCTTTGTTTTCTCAAATTACTGTACTCACTCTTTCCGTGTTTTACATTTTAAAATAAAATCTAGACACAATGTGCGATTTTTATTTAATTATTAGGTATTTATTTATTTTGAAAATGCGAATATGTTTATTTGGCCTTTTCAAAATTACCTATTTGTTTTATCACTGTGAATTTAGTTTCTAAATTTTTGAAATATTTCAACTTTAAATTCAACAATTTTTATTTAACTTCTTTGAATTTTTAATAATTTGAAATTTTAGAAAATTTGTAATTTAAATTTGTTTTTTAAAGAATTAAATTAAAAATAAATTAACAATATATACGTTTTGAAAATTGCAAATAAATGATTTATATATTTTCACGTAACATTTGAATATGTAAAGCTTGCTATTCAACTTGAGAGAATGGAATGCAGTATTTCAGGATAACTGTCTGTTCCAAATTCTTTTTATATTTAATCAGTTGCCGAATGAAGTTACGTATAAACGTATACAATAAACTATTCGCATAAACAAAATCACACTTAATGCTAGTCGATTATTTATTCATGAGCACACTTATAGTTTTATAACTCGTAAATTGTTATTTCCATTTTAAATATTTCTATTCGTGAAAGAGAATTTCTTTTTGCTTCTACTATAATTATTAGAAATAGACATAGTCCTTTTATTTTTTTTATTAATTAATTTTTTTTTCTGTATTTATAATTTACAATTTTATTTATAAATAATATAAGATTCGTAACTACAAACAAATTTTATAAATTGAAAATATTTTTGTTGAATGAGCCAAAAGTTTTGAACGTTCAAATGAACAAAATATTTTTTTCAATCTATAAATTATTAGAAATTATAATGTCAATGTAAAATAAAACAGTAAATTAAACAAATATTAAATTAATAACTTCTTTTTAGATATTTAAAACAATATTTTGTAATAAAATTCGTACTTAAAGAAGTTTAAAAAAAAATTTTGTTCATTTGAACGTTCAAAACTTTTGGCTCATTTTGTTGAAACAATTTTTTTAAAGATAATAATAAATAAAAAAAAAAGAATAAAATTTATAAATTAGAAATATTATTGTGTTTTAAAATTTTTTTTTCAAATAAAATGGAATAATTTTGTTTATAATACACATTGTGTCTAGATGTATTTAATTATTATTGTGTTGTATATTAAAATTGTATTTTTAGATCATCGTGTTACACGATTAATTTACCATAAAGGCCACTGCACACAAAAATGTGATAATCTTTCAAGATTGATGTACTAAATAATCGATTCACTCAACTGATTTTATCAAGTTGTTGAGAAAAAATAACTGTGATATTTAGCTGTGCTCAAAACTTTATTAATAATCATGAAAGTGTGCATTGGTTTTTATAATTTTATTTTCAACGTTGAAAGTCAATAATTTTGTGCTGAAAATATAAAAAGGTTTTTATTTATATAATTGGCAAACATATAGAGAGAAGTTTTTATTTCTTCATTTTATTCTTATAAAGTAATAACTAATAAGTAATTTTTTTCTTCTTTTTATTAAATAAAAAACAATTTTTTTAAAAACAGTAAATTATTTATCAAATACGAAAAATTAAAAAAATAATGTAAGTAGAGAATTTTTAAAATTCAAATAAAAACTAATATAACTGAAAAAAAATGAATTAAATTAAAAAATTTTAAAAAGACAATTTTTTTTATTTTTCTTCTCGATTCTTGTTAATTAAAATGCCAAATTTGAAAAAGAAAAAAAAAACTTTCAACGTTTGATCTATATAATCTAATGAAAAAATTAACAGGATACGCAAGGCTCTCGAAAACCGAACCAACATGGAGGATGACCGGGTCTCCTTGTTGGAACAACAACTCGCACAAGCTAAACTCATCGCCGAGGAGGCGGATAAAAAATACGAGGAGGTGGGTTCAATTAAAAGTGGACTCTTTTTCAAATATTGACCATAAATACACATATATTAAAATTTTCTTTCGACTCAAAATCTATTTTCTGATATAAATAATTGGATATTAAATTATATTTCAATGTTCAAAACGTTCGTTATAAAATTCACATTTTTGTTTTTCGATAAACGAATGAGGATAAAAAATTTATCTGAATATTCTTTTACTTATTTAGCAGACAAAAATTTTTTATATTTGAATATTCTTTTACTTATTTATCAGAAAAAAAACGTTTATATTATATAAATTTTTTTCTCCTAAATAAGAAAAAAAAATTAAATTTGTTATTTACCAAGAAAGTCACGTTAAATCCTTGAAATTGATTAATAAAAAAAATGTTGAAATTTGAGATAGAAAAAAAATTCATACTTTAGAAACTTCATTTCTTACTATATAAAATTAATTTTTGTTTTTGTTAACGTTATTGTATAATTATTTATTATCAAAACTTTTTTTTAAAGATATGATATATTTTTATTTTTTTTAACTTTCTTTTTTATAAAAAAAAGTCTTTTTCGTTTTCAAAAAAAAAAAAAAATGTGAATTTCGTCGAGATTTTGAACTTTGATATCTAAATTTTTTCTTTCACGTTATAGTGAATTTACTGTATAAATAAAAATTCAAGAGTCGATAAATTATTATTAATGGGTGTATTTTTGTCAATATTGCAACATGTCCAAAATATATTTTTGACAATATATTTTAGGTGGAAATTAATTACAGAAGCAGAAGCAGCGATGGAGAGCTGTATTATTATAATTTTAAAAATTTATATAAAAATTGGTTTTTCTTTGATTTCATTTAATTATTAGTATTGTATTAATTTTTTGATTTCCATTGAATATGTATATAAAGAGCCCGCAAGATCCTCGAGAATCGCAGCTTGGCTGATGAGGAACGTATGGATGCCCTGGAAAATCAACTGAAAGAGGCCAGGTTCCTTGCCGAGGAAGCCGACAAGAAATATGATGAGGTTCGCGAATTCGCATCAGTCAAACGTGCAGACTGCAGTGTTGATAACGATGGTTCCTAGTCGATAGTTTAAAAAAGTGCCTAACCCTAACTCGCTGTGTGCTCCTTGTGCTGCTCGATACGTGGGCAATATTGTCGACTCTCGACAATATTGCTATTTTAAATATTATTATGATTTCGTTAAATAATGGAGGGGAAAAAAAAAGGAATGATAGAAAGAGAAAAATTTTTATTTTTGGGGGGCAAAAAAATCGATAAATTCGTTTCGTTGACTTCACGATTTTTTTCCAATGAAAAAAAAAAAAGTTTGTTTACTTAAAAAAATAAGTGTCGGTGCTTTTTTTGGTGCATTAGAGAGAGAGAGAGAGGGAGAAAAAGAAATGAGTGCAAAAAAGAAAATTAAATTCGCGAGTGTCGCTAGCTCAAGTGCGTGGTGCTCAAAAAAGTTTTTCGAGAGAAAGATTTTATTGTAAATACATTTTCAAGTGGTGCTAATAATGTATACTCTTGATAGAAGAGTATAATTCAAAATATTAATCGTTTCGTTTAATAATGTTGGGGATTAGTTTTTGTTTGTTTTAATTTTGTTGTCTATTTTAGTTGATAATTGTCTGTTCGCGAAAAGTTTCATTGGGTTTAAAATTAAATTAGTTATTAAATAATGTCCGTTGATTTAGAAATATTTTGATAGTGAAAGGAAAATTTTATTTATCCAAAAAATTGGATTTTAGAAAATTGTTTAATTTAGTTTCTAAAAATGGCGTCTGTGATTGTGATTCGTAAAAAGTCTCTTCAATCGTGTGTTTCGCGTTTTTATTCGTTATTAATAGCGAAATATATTAATAGTAACTAACATTAATACAAATATGGAGATAGTTTAGACAGAAAAAAGAAAATTGATTTGTTTAAAATTGTTTAATTATCGCACCAAAGTTATAAAGTGTTGAACGTAGTTTTTCGTGTCTTGACATTTTTGTTGTATCGCGCTTCAAATCTTAACTACCGGGTCTTCGGGCAGTAAAACAAAGGCAAGTTCTTTCTTAACCTCGTTGATAATAATTTAAAATTGCGAAAAAGGGAAAGTCAAAATTACTTTTGTTTTGAATAGAATGAGTAAAAAGTAGAAAAAAATAGGGATTTTTGAAAGTCAAAGTAATTTTATTTATTAAATATTTCGTTAAAATTAAATTATATTTTTTAAAAATTTTATTTCAATTTTTTTTTCATTTCTAAAGTTTATTATTGTTTAAAACTATTGCATTATAGTTTCTACAAATTTGCATAGTTTAGATTTTATTTTCTGAATTTGTAAAAAAAAACAATTTTATTTGTATATTTTTTTCATTTTGAAATTAATATTAATAATTAATTTATTTATTTAGAAAATTTTATAAAGAAAATGGATATGATTCTCGGTATATATAGAAAACGTGTATAAATTCAAAAAATGTTTAGGTAAAAGTTGTCAAGTGGGTTTACAGTTTTTGATCGTCGAAACTTCGTCAAAATAATTCTCAGACAAAAATGCATTGTTTTTTTTTAATCATAACAATTTTAACAGTTTGATGACTCAAAAACTAACGCATGTTTGCGTTTTTATTTTAGAAAGATTTTGAATTGTGTTAATACTAATTATAATTATAAATGTATTTAATTTTTTAATCCAGTAACAGCCTAATGACCAGGACGTGAATGTGTTTTTTTAACACATGGATTTTTGATTTTTTTTTTAATATCTTAATAATATTGTTGTCAAATTTGTCTTAAGTGTTTTAAAAAAAATATTTACTGCGACATTTTGTTTTAATTTTTCAAAATATTTTATTGTCAATAAAATATTTATTTGAATTTACATATTTGAAAAAATCAATAAATCAAATTTAAATTAGACTAATTTAAAAAAGTTTTAAAAATTCTAATAAATTTAATTATCAAATTTTTTTAAATTATTAAATTAAATAAAAAATTTTTTTTAAAAAAGTAAAATGTATTTTTAAAACATGATTTAAATTTATTTTTAAATAATGCTTTTGAAAATTAAATGATTAATAAATAGAATAAATTGACTCGAACAATTTTTAATTATATGAAAAAAAAAAAAAAAAAACGTTTCGTGTCTTTGTCGCCGTACATTTATTTTGAAACGCTTGCGACATAACAGAGTAACCAAAGATTGCCTCTGACAAATGTGCATACGTAAGATATGACGCATAAGTGCAATTGTACACAGAGGCGTGAACATTTTCTTTTTTTTTCGTTATTTTTCTACATGTGTCTTCCTTGCAATTTTTAATCTCATTAGGAAATAAATAATACATTCTTGACTAATCACAATTATGTCAAATTTTACATGCACGTATGTCACGAGTCTTTCTTATTTATTTTACATATATTTTTTATTACAATATAATTGATATTTATCCATTTTTTTATAGCTGAATTTATCCATATATTATAGTCTTCCACTGGAAGAAAATGGATTGACCGAGTAAGAAAAAAAAATTGAGTCTGAATTTCCCAAAATTTACCCTACCATGTTTTTCCAATGGGAAATTAATTTTTTTTTGTATCGTTCAAAGGGACTCTGAGCATGCAAAATAATTGAAATTGAAAAAGAAAATTATGTAATTTTATAATTAGAGATGTATTTATTTTAAAACGATACAAAAAGTAGTATTTGAATCAATATTAATCGACGGATTTTTTTAAATTTATTTATTTATTATACTGTTTTTTTTTATTGTAAAAACAAATACAATATTGATTGGGAAATAATATTTTAGACTTGAAAAATCTCTTTTGTAAGAATAATAAAACTAAAATTCAGGGACGTAAAATATTTGAAAGTTAAATATTTAATTTTTTTTTTGTGAAGGTGGATTTGTAAATTATTTTTCGATTTTTATTTAAATACTATTTTAGTCATCTCTCATCAAATTTGTTGTTTTGAATCATCTGAAAAAAAAATTCAATCAGAAAATTTCTTACCTTTTTTTCTTTTATAAACAATAATCCTTTTTTTTGTGAGAAAGGAAATGGTTTTCATACAAAGAGAATCTTATTTAAATTATAAAGAAAAAATTTTTTTAACTTAAAAGAGTTTTCTATAGAAAAAAAAAATAAATCTCTTTGAAAAAAAATTCTTTTTAAAGAAATATTTTTTTATGTAAAAAAATAGAAATGATATTTTCTCAATTTTATTTTGAAGTAATAAAAAAATTTATTTTTTTAACATAAATGAATAATAATTAGAAAATAAAAAGTCAAAATTTAATTTTTGTTCAAAAAATAATTAGAAAAATAATTTCTTTGATTTGAAAAAGAATTTTTTTTTTTTTTTTATTAATTTTCTTTTTTTTTTTTGATCAATTGTCAGTACTCGGAGTGCCCTTTTATCGAAAAGTGAAGTGAAAAAAAATAGAAATAAATTAAATTAATAATCGAAGAAGGATATGAAAATATGATGGCATGTCTATATCCTTGACACAGGTTGCCCGTAAATTGGCCATGGTCGAGGCCGATCTAGAGCGCGCCGAAGAACGTGCGGAGGCTGGAGAGTCGTAAGCATCGTTTACTTCACGGAGTGCGGTTGTTTCTTGTTGTTGTCATTGCCGTTAAAAATCCTTTATCGATTTTTTAATTCCATGCCTGTTTATTATATCTCCCATAATGGTATACGACACCTCGACTCCTATCTCGCACGATGGACAACTTTGAGACACACTTTTTAGATTTATTTTAGTCACATTTTGCATCCCCCCCTCTCCCTCCCAAACCCCATAGAGTTAATTACCCACACAAACACATACATAAATGAAAATTGATTCCATCTCAAAATCAAAAAATCTCTAATTTTATTTCTATTTAAATATTTTTAAAAAATTGTTCCAAAAAAAATAAAGAAATAAAATTCGATTTCTAAAGAGAGAGAGAGAGAAAGATTTTAAGATGAGGATTGATAATTTTAGAGAAAGGCACCAGTAATTTTTTTTTTTAAAACGTCGAGAAAGAGAGAAGGAGAATGGAATAAAGCAGCTCGAAGACAACAAAAGAGGAGTTTATATGTTGAAAAAAAAATTTAAATAGAATTTTTCACTTTCACGTTTATTATCCGCACAATCAATTTTTTTTGCACGCATAAATATGTTTCCGACCCCCTTTTGCCCCCCTTCTTTTTTTTGTGTTTTGGCTTTTGGCATGACTTGTGTGGCTATTGATCGCAGGTTGCCCGGAAGCTAGTCATGATGGAGCAGGATCTCGAGCGTGCTGAGGAGAAGTCCGAGCTTTCTGAAAAGTAAGTGTGATCGTTGCATGAAAATTTGTATATCAGTGTAAGTCTCTCACATACACACAGAGTTGACTCTTTTTCTATACGTTCGCCTATGTCGAAAAATTCGCAACACATGTTACTGAAAAATTCTCTTTTTCTTTATTTCTCGGCCTCTTTTAATTTTTTTTTTTTTCTCTTCAACTCTTGAAAGAAAATGAGTTTTTCCATTTTCAAAATAAAAAATTCTTTTCGTTTTCCTCTGTTTTCTATTTTTTTTTCTCTCTCTCTCTCTCTCTCTTTCTCTTTATAAAAATTTGCAATTTTTTTTCCGTTTGTTCGCTTTTTCTATATATAAATTTCAATTTTGCTTTTGATTCTAAAAAAAATTGTCCTGTCTTTTTTATTATGGCGAAATATTAAAAATATATATATTTTTAGCTTCTTTTTTTTATTTTTTGTATGTTTGATGAAAATTCTGTTAATTTCGCTAATAATTATTGTGTTGCGGCCTTTGAGACATGGGATTTTAATTGTAAAGAAAATGATAATTTATTAACGTGATGATGATATTTTGCAGCAAAATCGTCGAGCTGGAAGAGGAACTACGCGTGGTTGGCAACAATCTCAAATCCCTTGAGGTGTCAGAGGAGAAGGTATATAAATATTATTATAATCATCCAAATTAGAGACCCAATAGATTATTTATAAATAATTACTGATTAATAATGATTAATTAACGATAATCGCTTTTCAATATGATTAATTTAAGATAAATATTAAATTAATTTAATATAATTTATTAAATATCGTTAATTAATGATTATTACAAAATTATTAATAGTAAACATTCTATAATTATTCATAATATTTTAATTAATAATTTTATTTCACGTAAATCGGGTAAATTTTTTTGTCCTCTCTTTTTTTTGTTTTAATGTTCTTATAATATTAGAAGATTTTTTTCTATATATTAGACGATAAAATAAAATAATGTTGAAGAAGGAATATAATGTTGAAATATTGTAACTAGGCAAACCAGCGCGAAGAGGAGTACAAGAACCAAATTAAAACTCTCACGACGCGTCTAAAGGAGGTACACGTCCTTCGGGAGTGTTCTTAACAATTTTGCTGATTCGTTTTTTTTCATATATACGCATTTGCTCTCTTTTTAAACGCACTAATACACCTCCTTTGAAAAAATAATTATTTCGTTTAATCAATTCTTGCACGATCGTGTTATCAAAAATAATTATAATTTATATTTACACAAAAAAAAAAAAAAAAAAATTAAATGTATGCCTTTTTTTAAAAAAGAAAATATTAATCCAATTGCATATAACTAACAGCTTTTGTTATTGTTTTCTTGTGTTTTTACTAAATATAGGCTACACAAAGGGAGGAGACATATGAGAGTCAGGTGAAGATTCTCGATAGTCAATTAAAGGAGGTGAGTTTTTCAATATTTAATTTTTTTTTCTCAAACTGTCAAATTTCAGGGAATTTTCATTAAAAGAAACTTAATAAAATACCAAAATTTATATTGAAAAAAAATTAGTTAATTAAACTTTTTAATTTTTGTCAATTTGATATTTCAATGAAATTGAAATTTTTATATCAGGTATACAAGTTAAATTGTAACAATTGATTCAATCATTTCTTAAATTATTAATTTTTCTGAATTAAAATCGTTTGTTTTTTTAAATATTTATTCTTTTCTTCGTTTTGTTAAATTATTGAAAAGTAATGAAAGCAACAATCACCTTGGAATGGAATCATTTATTTCTTCGGAAGGTATTTAACGCGTGATGTTATTTCTTTTTTTCAATTGAATCTAATCGTGTTTCAAAGTTTTTCTTTTTAATTGAATTTCTTGTTTTGTCAAACTAACACAAAATTGTGATTTTAAAAATGTTTGGCATGACTTTGGCTTTTATTGATTTTTGCGCAATGTAATTCTTTATTTCGATTAAGAATTTGCATTGTTATCAGGATGTCTCTTCATTTCTTTTATATAAAATTTTTGTTGAATAAAAATTTGCAACTTTTACAAATTTATTTATTAAAATAATTTAAAATAATTAAATTAAGATAATTATAAAATACAAATTAAGAATTATTAGAAAAAAATGAAAAAGAATTTTTGTAAAATTTTTAATATTGTTTTATTTCTTAATATCTATTTTTATTAATCATAAACAAATACAGAGAGATATTTACATTTTTTTTAAATTTAGACATCCTGATATGGTTTTAAATTCTGAATATTTTTTTTTATTTTGCAATATAATAATTATTGTTTTCATTCGTAGGCTGAGGCACGTGCTGAATTCGCTGAAAGATCCGTGCAGAAGCTCCAAAAGGAGGTCGACAGGCTCGAAGGTGCGTATTCTCATATATTTCTCATTTATCATCACATTAATCATAAAATATATCGCACTTTTAAAGATATGAAAAGAAAAATTACAACTATAATGAGAAAAAAATTTCTATACGTGCTTTAATTTAAAAAATTTATCATAATTTTCATTTATATATTCAAAAAGAAACATAGTTTTATGATATAAACAGTTTCTTCTAAAATTACTTTGTATTATGACAATATTGACGTGCTTCATGATTTTCAATGAAAAAGCGTTTTAAAAAGAATAGGAATTTCGATTTTGAGGAATTTCTACTTTTAGCATTGACCTCATCATCAACATAAAATTGAGCTTTTTGTCGATCGTTAAAACTCTCGACAACAATATATAATAAAACGAACGAATATTGCGTTCTTTTGAAAACAAACCTAAAATTAAGCGACCTCGCTAAACTATTCCATCGGGTCTTTTCGCTGAATTCCATAATAAGACCCTAACAATCATCATTCCTCTAAACAGAATCTATTATTATTTGCTTAATAAAAAAGAAGCGCAAGTGAAAAAAATTAAAATTTTATTTGCATTAATCTTCTGTCTGGTAATTCGAAATATCGTTAAAATTTTAAAACACGTTTAATAAACTACAAATATCTAAAAAGATTATATTAAAATTTATCGAATTTTTCGAATTATTGGGCACATTGAGAGACAATTTGATTTTATATACTTAAAACAATTGTTACAATTTTCTACGAATGGTATTTCGAAATCAAATTTTTCTCTATTTAAGGTATTTATTTCAATAATATTAATAATAACAACAACAAGTAACTATAACTCATTTTTGCTGTGTTTCGTCTAACCGATCTGCCAAAGTGTTTTTTATAACTAAAACTTTTTATTTAATTTTTTTTTAGTTTTTATTAATGACCCTTTGTTTTATTTTTAATTTAAATTTTCAGTGGTCTACTTAATCTGGAATTAATTTAATATAGATTTATTAATTTAATTTAAATTTAAAAAAAAAATTCATTTTTGATGAATTAAAGTTTTAAATTAAATTTTGAAGTTTAATTACTTAAAAATTTAAAATTTATCAGGCTTTACAATGTTTCCCCTATCTAAAAAAATTCCACTTTTTTATGAATATTTCCCCTTTTTTCTACTTATTTACCCTATTTTATGTTGAAACTCAAATAATCTATAAATTTATCATCTTTTAAAAAATTTGAAAAAAAAATTTTGGTTTCTATACTTTCTATGTTTTAAAATGTTTTTTATTCATCAAGAAAATAAAAATTTTCACCTGTAGTGTAATTTAAAACAACTTTAAAGAATTTTGATTAAGGAAAATATACATTATAATTTTACCCTATTTTTTCCCTTTTTTCAAACAAAATTTCCCCTATTCCCCCCTTTTTTTTTAGCAAATTTTATGCTGTGAAGCCTGTTATAGAAAAATACAATTATTTTACAATTTTTAATTATTTTTACCAGATTGAGTAGGAATTCTGAAATTTATTTTGTTTTCTTTTCTTTTCATTTTTTTTTCCTTTTATTTCGTTCTTTGAGTTTCATTAATCTCATTTTTTTTTAAATTAAAAAGTGTGAAGCGTGTGTGCCTTTAACCAGTGATCTTTACAGACGACCTCATGGCAGAGAGAGAGAAAAACAAATTGCTCCAGGAGGAGATGGAAGCCACCCTGCATGACATCCAGAACATGTAGAGCGTGTTGCGCTGCTGAAAAGGCTGTTTGGCGCGCTTTTGTGGTGCAAAAACATAACATAACGGACTAAATGCAGTATTTAGGCTAGCTTCCTATCCTCTTGATCACCCGTCCGATGTGCGTGTGATATTGTATGTCTTCTTGCGTGATTGTGAAACACAAAAGATAAAGAAAGAAAGAGAGCGAAAGAGATAGAGAGAAAGAGAAGGAAAGAGTGATTAAATACACAAAAAAAAAGACAGAACATAAAAGGAAGGAAGTAATGCCCGATGCACAATATAACGTTTGAGGGAAAAACTAGAGTGCTCGCGTTTTTCGCCCACATTCCGCAAACAATATTCTTATAGCGGCTCAATTCGGACGAGACGTGGCACTTGAAAAAAAAAAATTTCCACGAATCGCTATATATTAAATAGAAAATTATGCACACACAAAAAACGCATTTAATTGTACATTCTTTTGGCTTGTGAATTATTTTTATCGTCAATGAACGATTTGCTTATATATAAATATATATAATATACATATACTTTTTTTGATTTTCTTTTCAAATAATTTACTATTAGTAAATATACAAGAATGTTTAAATTTACTCCATTGAATTGTTAAAATTTTTATAAATGCATTTTTATAAATTCTTGCGCTGCCATAATTTCGAATTTGTATTATTGATCCAATTATTATTATTATTTGGTGCTCGAGTTTAATTCTCCTAAGGGGGCGTGATGCAATAATTACGATTTTCGTTTTTTTTTTTTTTTTGTTTATAATAAAATTAATTTTTCAGATAAAATATGAAAATTATTTTTTAAACAATGAATTTTATACTTAAATTTTTTTGTTTGGCTATTTGAGAAATTGAATTGTTCTCTTTTGTCTCCTATTGAGAATCGTGAATTATTAATAATAATAATAATAAAAAGTAAAATAGTCCGCCGCGACGATATTCTCATCCCAATTGAGCCAAAATCGAAATACCGAACGCGCCTGTAAATAATGAACGATACGAATAATTATATTGTGGCTGATTGCACTTGAATGCAGGGAACGTGTTCACTGTACTGAGAATTGGTGTTGATTTCCGGAATTTAGTCGCGTTAAACGTACACCTCAGATTTACACGCCGAACACTGAAAAATATGGTTGATCGAAAAAAAAATGAAAGAAAAGAACTTTTGCTATCCACAAGCATTTATATAGTTACACTGCCCCGTTTTAAATTAGCTTCCGCGAAGCAGTAACACATTTCCTGCGATAGACATTTGCCCCCAAGTAGTCATTCCATGTGAAAAATTTCCAAGTTTAATGTTTTGAAATTATTTTTTATAATTATAATTTTATTGAATTATATATATTGGTCAATTATTTTTGATCGAATTTGTTATTTGATTATTATAAACTAATTTTCCGCTTGATTAAATAATTTGTCGTTTGATTAAAAATTAAATTTATTAAAATTTTACTTAGTTTTCTATTCCCAAAAATTTTCTCAATTCTTCTCTTTTTGTAATTAGAAATAAAAATTAATAAAATTGTGTTTTGAATCAGAAATTCGCGATTTTTATAGTAAACAAAAAAAAGAAACAATATTGTGAGAAATTAAAATTTAATCCATGATTAAATTTTTGAAATAATGGGCATTTTTGAATGGCTGCTTGGAATATATATATATATTTTTTTTTTTATTTTTGCCACGTCAGTGAGCGAAAAAAGTACTGTACGATCCTACGTCCTGTCATATTATTCCTATTGTTTACTTAAAAAAAAAAGCGCTAAAAGATTGAGTTATCGTTTAGTCCATTAATTTTTACTTTATATATTAAATGAATGGAATGATAATAACTATCACTAATAACACTGTAATAATTATATATTACTATTATAAATATGTTTATAATATATATACACATATATATTTTGATTTCGAAGTTGTTGAACCTTCATTTTTTTGTGTTGTGAATTTTGATAATCTTTTTTTTTTTTTATTTTTTTAATTGACACTATTATAAATTTTAAGACTAACTATTATTTACTAAAGAGTTAACTTGTATAATAAAAAAAGAAATAATGAAGTTATGTTTAAAACCGCATGCTATTGAGTGAGAAGTGAATTTTTCTCCAGACACAAATGGGTAAGTACGTGTTTTTGCGTGACTTAATAAGCATCCTGTGATCCTAATAACTTGCGTAAATTATATATATATGCTAAGATTTCAAGAATATTTTTTTTGTTACTGGGTAATTGGTTGAAGATAATAATTTAAATAAATTAAGCATTGTTAAAACTTGCGCTTTACTTAAACATCAACGCGAGGTCTAATTTGTCTTGGAAATTTTATTACTTTCTTTTTTTTAAGAACACTCACGATTATTAGATTCTTAAATTGTAAAACTGTTATTTAATAAATGGTCTATTTATTTTTGTCAATTTTTTCTTTTAATGGTTAGTTCGTTGTGTTTTTTTTTTAAAGTTTATTTTTCTGTGGCTATTTAAAGGAATAGAAGCAGTAAAAAAAAATATTTTTCTGAGTTTAAAATTAATTTTTCAATGATAAAAAGTGAAAATAAAAATTGCTTCGCTTGATTTTAAAAATTGTAATTTTTTAATTAAGCTAATTTTTTTTTTACTTTTTTAACACTATTAATGAATATTATTTCCAGATGAGATGGTGGTGGAGAAGGAGAAATATAAAGAGATTGGCGATGGTTTGGATAATGCTTTCGAAGAAATCTATGGAATATAAGATTTCTTGCTCTACCCTAATGCTTTAGCATAATTTTAATGCTTGTCGCTTTTTCTGATACTAACTGTAAGTTAAATCCTTGCTTCAGCTTTTATTCCTTATTGAACCTTATTCCTTATTTTTAATGCAAAAGATAATAAAAAAGAGAAAAAACAATTCTTGAAATATTGAGAAAAAAAATTTATAATGTAAAAAAAATTTATTTTTTCTTTATTTTTTTTTAATAAAAAAATAAAAATTTTCTAATAATTGTAACTTAATTTTTTAAACTAAATATATTTGTATTAATTTTTGTTATTTGTAATTTATTTTCTTTTAATTTTTAATTGATATATTTACAAAAGGTTTTTTGTTTTGAAAAATAAAAATTTTGTAAAATTGAGTTTCAAAAAGAAATTATTACCATAAAATGAAAACTTAATTTGAATTCGTATTAAAATATTAGATTTTTCAAAAATATAGATTTAAACTTTTTTTTCAATTCTAGGAATTAAGTTTAAATTTTTAGATTTTTTTAAAGATATAGAATTAAAAAAAATGTTATTTTTGTTTGTATCACGTGAATGTGTTAAATTTCAGACGAACTTGTCCACGAGAAGGAGAAATACAAATACATCTGCGACGACTTGGATCTCACCTTCACCGAATTGGTTGGTTAAATCAACTGATAATTCTATTAGGTATATCATTCTATCAAATATACCAATAATAAAGAAAAAAAAAATTGGCATTCAAGATCTCCAAACAAATGTCAAAAAACAAACAATCTCCTACCATTTTTTTGGTTACATAATATTATTACAAAATATTATTACTTGTATTATTGTAATTAAAATTAATAAGCTATTGTAATTGTGCGTTTTTTTTTACTATTTCCCACCTTTTACTTCCTCTTATCCTTTTACTTCTCCTTCTTAAAGTATAAAGTTATTTATTTAACAACGAATTCAAAAAGATAAATTACTTTATATTTGGCTTTAAAAAAAATATTTTTAAATATCTCATAAAATTGAAAAAAAAACTAAGAAAATTGTGATTCTTTTTTTTTTAGTAAAAAAATTAGAATTCTGTTTGAAATTTTAGATTAACGAAGAACAATAATTACGTCCATTGCGCAGAGTAAGTTGGAATGAAAGTTGAGGTGTGAATGTATTTTCTAATTTTTTATTTGTCAAATTTTATAAATAAAAAAAATAATCTTTTAAAAGTGCAGGGATAGACGAAGTACGAAAAATGGCAAAAATGTATTTGTAATTTTAAAGAAAATATTTTTCTTACTAGCATAGGTTTTTCTCGAGGAAAATCATAAAATCGAAACATTATTCCTTATAATTATAAAAAAAAGTATTTAAAAAATCCATTATCTTTGAGAATATAAAAAAAATTATTTAAAAAAAACATAATTTATTATTTTCAATCAACAAACGTATTTAAAATACTTATTAATCATTGTTTCAAAATAATATAAATCTTTGAAAGATTTTAAATATTTGCAATAATTAAACTAATTTTTATTATAAAGAAAATAATTTATATTTAAAAAAAAATTGAACTTCCAAGTAACTTAGTAGTTATAACTTATCAACTCGTTAATTATTTTTTCTTAAAATTTATGAAAAAATTTTTGATCCACATTTACAAACGGAATATAATAAAAGTAGAAAATTAGTAATTATAAAAAAAAACAACTAACAATTAACATAAAATTTAAATGTGCGATTGTTATCCTACTAACATTTTATTAACAACAATCCCTTATGTGTTTCATTGCAGATGAACTTGTGACTGAACGTGGCAGGTGCAAAGCAATCGCTGAAGAAATGGATCAAACTTTTGCCGATCTTGTTGGTTATTAACGAGGGGTTTTTTTTTAAAAAAGAAAAAAAAGAAGAGTATATAAGTCATATACTCGACAAAAAATGAATTCACTGCCACAACGCAGACCGTTCGCTACATAAATCGTCCTCAATATTCAACATAAGACTTCTCTTCATCAACGTCGAATTTTAGAATCCAGATTCTTCATCTCCTTCGTTTATTTTTTGCCTGGAAAAATCACTTGTCTTCAAACTGTCTAGTGAACGGTCAATGTTTTGTGTGAATTTTAAGGAATGAAGTTGACGTCCATGACATTCCATATATGTCTTCATCTTCATTCTTTTATATTATTAAATTCTCGATTCATTAAAAAAAAAGATGATCATTCTCGAAAATAAATTTTGATTTGATTTTTTAAAAATTTAATTGTTTTTAATTAAAACGAAAATTGAATTTTAATTTCTACAATTGATTAATTTAAATTTCACTAAATTTTCATTTTTGTTCCTTAAGGGTATGAAATATAAAAATTTGCAAATTTTAATAAAACTAATTTATTTCCATGATTATTGAAGTCTCTTCTATTTTTTAAATCAACAAATATTCAAGTGACATTGAAAAAGGAATATTCAAATAAAAATTGAAATTAAATTAAACAAATTTTTTTAATGATATGAAAAATATAAATTTGAAATGAAACAAGTATAAGAAAAGACTTATATGGATCGTAGACTTTTTCAAATTTATTTGGTAAAAATTTTAATTTGATATCTTTGATTTAAAAATGAAGAAACTGAAAATGTTCAATTGTTAGCTAACAAGGTCCTAAAATAATGTTACTGTTAATTTTCAATTAATTATTTCGAAATAAATTTTTCCAATAGACGGAGAATGATCATTTTTTTTAAAGCTTAATAACTTAAATAGATTTTATGGGAAAAAAAGAAATTCACTAATTCAAAAATCGGTTTTTATCCGATTCTACAAATTGTACAATTTAAATGAAATTTTTATTACCATTATAATAATTAAAGAAAAAAAAGACATAACAAGTAATCTAAGCTCAGTAAAAATCTATAACTATAATATAATTTTAAAAAATTAAAACTTAAATGATGAAAACATTTTTGTTAAATAGAGTATATTGATTTTTTTTGTCTATTTGATTGTATTATTTATAGTTTTATTTTTATTTGGCAATATAAATCTATTATGAGAGGAAATTTTGTAAAGCTATCAATTTTTATAGAATATTTTTTAGTTATAGAGTATTAAAAAAAAATGAAAAGAAAAAATGGTCAATTTTAAATGAAAAAAAGATTTATTATTCTTTATTACATTAATCGACACAATATCAGAAAAAATAATCACAATTCTGTAGGTAAATAAATTTTTTAATTAATAATAATGAGTATATATGAACGCAAAACAAATTCATGAAAATTGAATGAAATTCCAAACGGTTAAAAGGTAGTTCACTTAATAGATAAGAAAAAACATTTGAAGAACTTGAATTATAATTTCTAGAATGAAACAAAAATTTAATTTTAAATTCTAGAAAAAAAGTCAATTTTTGTTAAAGTTGCGAATGAACTACCTGAATAGAAAACAATATTTTCAAAATATAAATTTCAATAAGGTTCTTTCTTTCATCATCATCATCATCATTATCGACTGTAGTTTATAATAAAATGATGGGTTATTTCATATAGACGATGCGCACGATTTTTTAAGAGATTTTTATTGACATTTCTATTTTCATCTCAATGTGATGGAAACAAGTTCAGTTGTACACATTCCTCTTAACCGATTGGCTTTGCTTCAAGCGTGTCTGGTATTTCTGTATTGTGAGCTTTAAGCTTCGCAAGTGCAAGGGGTTAAAATGATGAAAATATAATACGTAAAACAATAATTTAGCTTTTAATTAATTATAAGTTTATTATTATTATAATCCCAAGTCCAGATATCGTAAATGCACTTGTCTCTCATATACAGTTCCAGGAAAAGAAAAATATCAGTTTTTCATTGATAAATTCAATATCTAATTGGAAAAAAAAATTTCAGCGATACGGAAAATCAGTAAAAATTTTGTAAAAAAAAGAAAGTGTTGTTAAAAAAAATAATAACGAATGTCAATTCAAAAATTGTTAACCAAAAATGACAATAGATTCTTAATACTATATAAATATAAATTGACAACACTTTATTGTTGATGATAAAAATGTAATTGTATTTTTGAGATTTTGCGCTGTTAAAGATGAGTTGAAATTTTACTCAAAATTTTTTTAATATAAAATTTTCTCTTTGAGGTGACAATCTCATTTTTGTTATTAAAATTCTAGAAATAAAAAGAATAACAAAAATTGATTGTTTACTAAAGGGTTCATTCAACATAAAATATTGTGTTAAGAATCAGTAATCCCTTTAAAGGCATTTTCTTATATTCTTAAAAATTTTTAATTTAAGGGGTGGCACCACCCCCAATTTTGACCCACTTACATAAATTTAAATTATTAAACGAGGTTATATTTTAATTTTTTCAAAAAATTAAAATTCTAAAGTGGTCCAAAAATTTTTTTTGTTTTAAACAAAAAAAAATATAACTACGTTTAATAATTTAAATTTAAGTGGGGCAAAATTGGAGATAGTGCCTCTCCTTTAGTTAACATTTTTAAAAATTTATAAATATGACATTTAAATTTATAATTAAAATTTTTTGTTGGTATTTAAAAATAATAATTTTGTCAATAAAAATAAATTCGTGAGAATATAATTAAATTCATATCTTGTAATTGCCTTTAAAGATTTTCAAGTATAAAAATCGATTTTTTTTTAAATAATCGAGTAATTTTATTTTGAATAAAATAAACTACAATAAAATTTAAATAATTTTTTTTAAGATAACAAAATCCATTTAGAAAGTAAATTGTTGGTAGTATTGATTCTGAATTTTAAAATTGTAAAATTTTTGACGTAAATTTCGAAAGGCTTGTTTTATTCAAAATAAATTCCATCACTTGAGAAATATGGAGAATATTTTTTTAACCTTTTTTTCAAATACAATCTTTCACTCTCTCTACTTAGTAGTTTTAACAGCGCACAATTATCATTTCTATATATTATTAAGTAAATTAAACAACGATTCGATTGTGCTATTGCTAAGAAGGTGCTTCGAAAATACAATTTTTTAATTATTTTTACAACCGAATTAAAATTGTATTATTTTAATAATCAATTCACTTTAAATATGTGTTTATTTAGATTTTCTAATTTTTAAAATGAGATTCTAAAATTATCTTTCTAATCAGACTCCGTATAATTATTTTTCTTAAATTTCTTTTATCACAACAAATTCTCTAATTGTTCTCCCAATTAGAATTCGATTTTTTTTTGTTATAAACATGAGATTTCGATAATAGCGATTACAAAGTGAGAAATTATGTGCACCATATATATCATTCACGGACGTTTATTTATTTCTCCATGAAAAATGGTATCAAATTTTTTGAAGATTTAAAAATGAAATTTTTGTAATTTTCTCGACATTCAATTATTATTATCTTTGTATAACTATACTATTATAGATTATATAATAATACTTATTGTGTCAAAGACGTCAATATTTAAAATTGGTTTTCTTTTTAATCGATATAATGGCGATCCTGCGAGAAATGAAAGAAAAAAAAAGGAAATCCAAGATTTTGTGCTTTGATCTTGAGTCGTTGAGTGCCTATTTTAAGGAACCCGCTGCATCGTGTGATAATAATAAATATATTGGGATTTTTTAAAAATGCGATGTTAAACGTATTGTGAAATAAAAGCGTTCCGGAAGATCGAAAGCTTTGTGTCTTTTTAAAAAAAAAAAAACAGAAAATAGTAGAAAAAGATCGAGACCCCATTTTTTTTTTTTTTGTATAAGAAAACTATTTTTAAATTGGAATTTTGAATATTTTTAAAATGAAGATTAAAATGGTATTAGAGAGAAATAGAAATAGCTCTTTAATTGCAATTTCTTAAGTTATAATAAGTTCAATTAGTTTCTTTAATTTTCTAATAATTAATTCATTAGAAATTTTCCTTAATTTTAATAGAAAATTTTGGTTTGTATTTCTTGTTTCTACATTTGCGTGCCTTCTTGATATTTAACCTTATAAATAGACTCTCCAGTGTCGTTTTCTCACATCCTATTATTAGGAGGCACAGATTTGCCTCGATATCGAGACTAGGACAGTGAGTGAACTGATTTATTTCATTGTCTTTGATTTTTCATGAGCCCAATCATTGTTCTATTAACTTTTTTTTAAACGCTCATATTTACATTTGATTTCATTAAAATTTTTTTCTTGATTTTCTCATTACTACGAAAGAGTTTTGAAAATTGTATTAATTTTTTATTTAAAAAAATATGTTTGGAAATTTTTTTTTTCATATGATATTTTTCCAATTATGTTTTGAATAAATTACAAAAAAAATGTTATTTATAAATTAAAGAATTATAGATTATTGAAGATCTCTTCATCTATTATTATTTAAAATTAGAAACAACATATTTATAAACTAATTTTTTTTACAAATTACAATGTTCTTACAAGAATGTATGAATTTGTTATTCTTTGTTTATAACAAAATTTATATCTTAAATTAGAAAAATAATTAGAAAATAATTAAAAAATATTTTGACACTTTTCAGTTAAAAGGGAGAAATTTTGTGAATATTATTTTACAAATTCACTTCTAATTGAAAAAATAATAAGTTATTATATTATTATAATAATAATTGAAACAAAAAGTGGCGGAACTTTGAAGAAATTTGATTCAGGTAATGAATATATTTTTTATTGTTATGATTTCGTGATTTCGTATTAATGAATATAATTATTTTCAGGTTGCTTAGCGATGTCTGCCCACTACTTCCGGAGGCCGTGATTTCCAAAAAAAAACTCGGATGAACACTTTTTTGGAGACACACAGAGGGCAAATGGAAAAAATGTAAGGCAAAAAAGCTTTGCAAGCTCAAACAGTGACGCGATGAGGATGAGAGACCAGTTTCTCTAAACATGTAGAAATAAACTTGAACCCCGCGCTTGAAGATGAGGCCGAAATGCGCGTTTGATGAGAAGGCTCGCCATTTTTGGGTTCCCCACCCGCGTCATCTGCGACGTCCGACGTCGAGGAGCGTCGGGACGACACTCGACGCGCGTCTCTCTTGTCGCTCGGGTTAGGTAAGTGTCATATGGAAAAACGCGATTTTTTCGCCTCTTAGTGAATCAACATCTTATTATAATCGTTATTTTGAAAAAAGAAAGAATTTACAAGTTAAAACCAAAAAAATCAGTTTCTCCAAGAATTTTAAATGTTGACGAATTTCAAGTGAATTAGAATTTTTTTTTTTTTTTTTAAAGTGAGGTAACATTTTTCTTTTTTTTTCGTTTTGAAGAAAGAAAAAAAAAGTGCGAAGTATTTTGAATTTGCAACCGCGAAGTGTGAGAAAAATAAAACAAAAAAAAATACCAAGGATTTTTTAAACAAAAAGAAAAACACTATTCTGGTGATATTTTCCATTTCTTGCAGAAAATAACTGTGCTGCTGCTTTTTTTTTTTTGTCAACAAAATTATGAAGTCTTCAGAAAAACAGGATTTTTTTAAGCTTATCGCTTGTCTCTGCGAAATAACATTCAACGCTTCACGCTTACGCTTTTGTAGACGTAACGCGATGTCGTAAGTAGCATTAACAGGAATAACAAACTACGTAATCTATTTTTTTTGAAAAAATTTCTTTTTCTTCTTTTTAACTGAACATATATGTCAGATTATTTATTTTAGTTTTGTTAATTTTTCTAAATCTTGAGCTTGCAAGGAAATTTTTTTTTTTTATCTATTTTAAAAATTTTTAACAAAATTTTGAAAGTAGTTTTCAATCAAATTTAATTTTAAATATTTATTTTTTATTTAACCAAAAAAGTATTGTTGTTGAATTAAATATATGTTATTTTCGAAACAATTTGTATTTAACTAAAAAAGTATTTTTGTTAATTAAATATATAATATTTTCTAAACAATTTTTTAGTAAAATTCCAAAATAATTATTGAATAAAATTTAAATCAATAATCTGCCGGAAGTGATTCTTAAGATAAAATTTATTTGAAATGATTTTTACATGATCAAATAAAAATACTTTTTCTAGTGTCTGCTTTTTAATTATTTTCTCTAGTCGAAAATAAAAATTATCCTCTTTTAACAACAACAAAATATTGTCATCGTAAATTTTTGTTGATTTGATTGATTAAATTATAAATAAATTTTTTATTTAACTTAAAAAAATAAAATTCGATTTAAAAAAAATGGAAAGTCACGAAATATGTAAAAAGCGAATAAAAACGTAAATAAAATTTTTATTTTGAAATGTATAAACAATAAATAAGAAAAGAAAGGTAAAAAAATAATAATAGTTCAAGAAAAATTATTTGAAAAACAAAAGTTATTCAAAAAATTGGAATTTTTTGGTTGTTTAAAAATATAAATAAATAAAAAATAATCTGACATTTGAATTAAACAATTAATGTGTGACATTGTTTTTTTTTAAATAATATGAGTGTTTTGCATGTATAGTGGCGTATTTTTGGGAGGAGATATTTCGTAAAATAGAAGATATTGTTTCATTTAGTCAGCATTTTATTTAGGGTTTTTGATGAAAACAAGTTGTTTATAGAAGATAGAAAAAATGTATCTTTTTTTAAGCATAAAGACATCATTTCACATTTTGAACTTTCATCAGTAAAATACTAAATCTATTTTTGCTCTTCAAGCCAACTGAGTATATTATTATTATTTTTTTTTTTCATATGAAAGATCAAAACAGACAAAATAATATCACTCGACTGTGACATTATTTTTAAAGTGAGGCAGTAAAATTTATGAAACCAAAGATGAAGTAGTGGGTGTGGAATTTAAGATGCAGAGGAGAGGGTGAAAAAGATTAGGAACGAGGACAAATCATATCATTATCTTTTCTAATGGACCATTAAAGATGTTCATAAATTGAACAATTTCCGTTAAAAAGTAAACATTCCATTTTTTTTATTAAATTGTATTACTTATTTATTTAATATTAAAAAATAGCAAAGATAATTTATAATAAACAAATAATTTATTATAAATTAACTGTTTTTTTACTTTTTACATTTTTCAATATTGCCATTATATTATTTAAATAATTTTATTTTGACAAAAAAGGATTTAGAAAATATATTTTTATTGTTTTCCTTCTATTAATTTTGATTATTATTTTTTCTTTTTCTAAAGTTACATTTACTATAAAAAAAAGATGTAACCAAAAGTTAAATTTCAATTCCTAGTCAAATTTATCTATAAAAATTTTCCAAGAATTTCAAAGAAATTTTTTTTTTTGTTGATATTTTCTGTAAATATGAAATTTTTTAATTTGGGGAAAAACCTTTTTTTTATTTCAATATTGTAGTGTATGTTAACTAATAGAGGACTGAGCGAATGAGTGTAAAGGAAATTTCTTGAATTCTCCGACATTTTGGGAGACAGCCAAAAAGGTTGGGACCTCTCAATCGGAGGTCACTTGCAAGTTTGATGAAGGCATCTTTAATGACAGATTTTCTTGAACCCCATCAAATGAGTGACTTTAAAGAATTTTAATTATTTTTTTTTTTATTGAGGAATTGAAAAAAAAATTTATGCCAAAAAATTAGTTTTCTAAATTGTGAATTTTTTTTTTCTTATATCAATGAGAAACTGTTAACACATCTGAAAAATATTGGAATTTTTAAAAGAAATAATAATTAATTTTTTACATTTTTAAACAAATTTAAATATTCATAAATAAATTTATATTTTTAAAATAAGTGTAAGAAATTAAAACTATCAAATTCATTAATACTTGACGAATTTGAATTCAAATTTACTGTACATGATATTTCATTGATAGAAAAAAATTTCAAATTTTGTTTCACAATTTATAAAATTTTTTATTCAATGTATTTTGCTTTTTCATTTTTGGAGAAATTTTTCTAATAATTAGAAAAAACAATTGTTCCAATGTGAAATTACAAATATGATGATAATAATTTTATAAAATCGAATCAATAATTTCTCTATTTTTGAAACATTAAATTGACTCAAATAATAATTAATTAATGTAAATAAATATTTGTCAAGTGACTGATTATTTGATTTGTTTTCAGGAATCTCATTTTTTTCCACCAGTAAAATTTCACTCTTAGGAATTTGAAAATTCTATATTTATGAAAGAAGATTATAGGGAAAAAAAAGGGACAGTTCCAAAGAAAAAAAAAGAAAGAAAAAAATAATAATGAATCCTACGCAAGATTTATTAAGAAAAAAAAAGAAAAAAATGTCGAATTGGGCGTCGCTTGTTTTGCAAAGTTTCGTAAATTCTATAAATAATTTCGGGCAGTTAAGATCAGATGTCGGTCGGCGTTGGCGGCCAAGTAAAGCTCGTTCTCAAGGAGTTGCCTGAGACTCTCGCACACGCTCCAGCTCGACCCGTTCTTTCCAACATTTATCGTCAGCCACCGTTTCTTCGCTTATTAATAGAATTCTGGCAGTAGTTTCTATTTCCGTAGATATCAGCTCTCTACGGGCGCTACTTCGAAATACTGTTGAAGGCCCCTCACAAACGACTACTCACCGAATATGACGACGAGAGGAAAAACTTCTTCCGCTACTTAAAAAAATATCCACCCCTCAAGAAAAAACGAAAAAAAAATTTTTTTTTGCTTTTTTATTTTGTTGGGATAAAAAAAAACAATGATAAGCTTCTTCTTGTGCTGGGAAAATCGAATGGCATGAATGGATCCATGCCAAAGTCAATGGGATTCTTCTCTTTGATGAGATACGCGAGTCTTACGTGTTTTAAGTTCTCTTCTTGTAGATACGCAAATTCCTGATGAATGTTTTAAAAGGACGAGGAGGTCGAATGTCAAACTCTTGTATATTTGCAATATGACTTTCTTTTACAAGATATTTTCAAATTTTTAAATTCACGAGGAATCACAAAAATTTTATTTTTATTCTTCTATTTTTTTTTTGGTAATAATAAACAAGTAATTTTTCACAAAATGAAATTTCAACAAAATTTTCATCAAAAATTGTGTAAATAAAAATTAAACGTGGATTAAAAAAAAATTGCCTCTATTCTTAATATCTAATAAAAATTCAATTTGCGAAAAATATTTCATTTCAGAATTTGATTTTTATTCCTAGAGTTTTTTGTTTCATAAAAAAATAAAAATATAATTTTTTCTTCAAATTAAAAAAAATTTCTTTTTAATTTAAAAAAATTAATTTCACATTGTTAATTCGATTTCGAATTATTTTTCAATAGAATTTTTCATTTCAGTTTCGAAGTATATTCTATACGTATATAATAATTTTTCAATTATTTTTTCAATTTGGCACTTTTTGCTCTTTTATTTCGAGTTTACTTAATTATTAACATCATTAAATTAAATAATTTTGTAAATTTATTTTTTTTTAAAATTATTTACTATGTGTATGAAATACAATTATTTTCATATTCTATTATTTTGGATATTCAATTTTTTTTTTTTGAATCAATTATTTACATAAATATTTAATTATTTTTCTTTTCAATCTATTTTGCAATGCAATTATTATTATTTTTAAACGATTTTGAAAAAAAACAAATTATTATTAATTCAGTATCACAATTTTAATCTGAAAAATTTGGCGAAATAATGATTTTTTAATCAATATTCTTTTTTAAATTTAAAAGTTTTTTTAAAAACTTTTTTCAAATTTCAATGTGAAAGAAAAGTCTATTGAATATAAAAATTAGGTTTCCTTGTATCAGTAGTATAAAGTTTGTTTAGTCAGACTGGTCGCGTTTTGATATATATATATATATAGCTTCAATATAATGTCCACAGTAGAGAAGATGTTTTACGTCGAGACCGCGATTTATTTATTTTCTCTTCTTGATTATTTGTTTTATTATTATATCACTTTATAACAGTTATATTCAGTGGAAATCAGAAAAAAGCAAATTGAATCATATTTTAAATTCTCTTCAGGAAAAATGAAACACCTGTTTTTCAATGAGTTAGATATTTTTTTTAGTACTTTAAATTATCATTTACTATTTTTATTCACAATTACAAAACTATTATAATTAAACATATAATTTGTTTCTCCATAATAATTTTCACATTAATTCATTGTGCATATGAATTAATTTCAATTAATTAACTTTTTTTTATTATTATTAATTTATTTATTTTATTTATTGCATTTATCACATTATTTTTATATTTAAAAAATATGTTTATTTATATTATATTTATATAACAAAAAATTGTATGAATTTTTTTTTAATACAAAAAAAATTGCATGTGTGTTGTTTTTGTTAATAATGCAAATTTTTAATTAGTTTTCAATTTGTCATTTATTAATTAACAAATAACTTTATGTGTTGGATTTATATAACAAAAAATGAGTTTTGAAAATTCACTCAAAAAAAGAAAAAAAAATAATGAAACGATTTATTTTATTTTACTATAATAATTACTATAATTAAATTGTAATTTTTTGAGTGTATATAATATAATAATGCTTAAAGCGCTGTGGCAAAATAATATTTAATTCTGGTAAATATCATCAATTTTCATTCAATTATTAAAATGTCAAATTTACTACACAAAATGTATATTTCTCGATGAAGTGTTTACTATTAACGATTGAATAATTCTTGAAACAGTCCCAAATTCAAATTATACCGTAATAAATGTCGTTTGTACTCGAAAATGTTACTACTCTCTTATATTATTATTTCTAAATTCGAAATGCGCTCACCTTGCTTTATTTTTGGACGGTGGATTAGGTCTCGTTTAAATTTTGTCTTTCGGATAAAAATAATGATTGACGAACTACAGACAAATGTTTTTCAGTAAAAAAATATATATATAAAAAATCATTTTGTAATTTCCATTTTTGAAATTTGTTGAATTGAAAAATAAAATTTTCATATATATATATATTTTTTTTAATTTCCACAATAAACATGTTTTTGGAGAAATTACCTTAATTTTTAATAATCCAATAAAGATTGTTTAATTTTCATGAATGAATTTATTTCCCTTCATTTAATCGTGAATATTTTCGATTTATTTGATTTTTATTAAACTAGTATTCTCCTGGATTGAATGGATAGTAAAGAGAATTTTTTTTTTAATTTCGTAAAAATTTCAATAATGATAAGAATATTGACAAAAAAATGTTTTTTTTTGCTAATGAGAATGTTGTGTTTTAGCGGACTTTTTATTTTCGTAAGTGAAGTCGACAAAAAACAGACGCCACCATGGACGCGATCAAGAAGAAGATGCAAGCGATGAAGCTTGAGAAGGATAATGCGCAGGATAAAGCCGACACCTGCGAGGGACAGGCGAAAGAGGCAAATATGAGGGCGGACAAAGTCCTCGAGGAAGTTGCCGATTTACAAAAAAAATTAACCCAAGTGGAAGCTGACCTTGTTGCTAATAAACAAAATCTCGAACAGGCCAACAAGGATCTTGAGGAACGCGAAAAATCCCTCACAAATGTAAATTTTCAAAATATATTATATGAAAAAATATTTCAAATATTATATGTTTTTTTTCTATTCTTCTTTGTATTTTTTTTGTTTAAAATATAATTTTTCTTTATAATATTGGAAAAATAAAAAAGTAGAAAAATTTTTTCAACTTTTTTTTTTTTTAATTCAAGAATATTGATTAAATTTTCAGGCTGAATCCGAAGTGGCGGCTCTCAACAGGAAAGTTCAATTGATTGAAGAAGATTTGGAAAGATCTGAGGAACGTCTCAACACTGCATCTGCCAAACTTACCGAAGCATCTCAAGCTGCTGACGAATCCAGCCGGTAAAAAAATTTAATTTAACAAATTATTATTTTATTTTTTTATAATTTGACTAGTTGTTTCATTTTTATGAAATCTAATTGAACAAAATCAATGAAATTTGAGATATTGTAGTCAATTTATTTATTTTTTTTATTCCTGAGTGCTCAGAACAAATAATAACTTAATTTTTATTTGCAGTATGTGCAAAGTATTGGAAAACCGTGCTCAACAAGATGAGGAGAGGATGGACCAATTGACGAATCAATTGAAGGAAGCACGTCTTCTCGCTGAAGACGCTGACGGAAAATCTGACGAAGTCGCTCGTAAATTGGCCTTCGTTGAAGATGAACTCGAAGTCGCGGAGGACCGTGTCAAATCTGGAGAGGCGTAAGTTTTATTTATTTAATTCTTAATTATCCACTTTTTTAAATAATAATATTAAATTAATTGATTATACCTATATGACTTTTATATAATTTTTTACATTTTTTATATTTGAAAATGAAAAAGTATATAAATTAATAAAAAAAAAAAAATTTTATTATTATTTTTTTATTTATAATAGTAAAATTTTTTCTATTTATTTTCAGTAAAATCATGGAGCTCGAGGAGGAACTCAAAGTTGTCGGAAACAGTTTGAAATCTTTGGAAGTTTCTGAAGAGAAGGTTTGTTCATTATATTGTTAATTACGTAGATTTTTTCGTTAAAATATTTTTAAAAATAAATTTAAAAATATAGAAAACATATAATTATTTTTTAATTAGATGTAGTAAATTTTAATATGTATAATAATTATATTGTCTATTAATTAAGTTGATTAATCAATAAATAATTTTTTTCAGGCCAACCAAAGAGTTGAAGAATTCAAAAGACAATTAAAAACATTGACTGTCAAACTAAAGGAGGCTGAGGCACGTGCTGAATTCGCTGAGAAAACAGTCAAGAAACTCCAGAAGGAAGTTGACAGGCTCGAAGGTCAGTTATTTCATTTTAAAAAAAAATTCAATTTTTTTTTTAATATTTCCAAAATTTACGTTAATTTTTTAAAGAGCTTTATTCCTCGTATTGAACATTATCGGAAATTAATTATATATTAATTAATTTAATCAGAAAATATGCAAACTGGATTTTTTTTTTTTTTTGATTTCGTAAATTCCTTTTGCTTTTTTCAGTTAACAACAACTAATTATAAATTTTATTTTAGTTAATGTCACGATGATAAAATATTAATGTTACTATAAAAACACATCATTTAAAGTTAATGTTGTATGACGTCAGTGTTATAACATTAAATTATTTTTTTTACATTTAGTGTTCAATATTACAGGAATGCAATGTTTTAAATAAATTTCATTTTATGTGATTTTTTCCAGGATACCTTGAAAGTAGAGAAATCCTTTTAGATAGAGTTAAAATTCCTCTCGTAGTTCAGTTTGTCATGTAATATATATAATTTTATTTGTAAAACAATTTTTCATTACAGACGATTTATTCCGTCAGAAGGAGAAACACAAAGCTATTTGCGATGACTTGGATTCGACATTCGCTGAGCTTACGGGCTACTAAATTTTATTACACACTTCTAAAACTCTTGAAATCTTATTCCACTTAAAAAAAAAACATTTTTTTTAAATTAAAGAAAAATTAAATTTGAAAAAAATTATTAAAAGAAACATAGAAATTTTGAAGTTTAAATTTTTAATCGGATTTTTTTTCTTATCTAAGATTTGATTTAAAATAATAATTGAAAAAATATAAAAATAGTGAATATTTTAAGTAATATAGAAAATAATGTAGAAAGTTTATCGATTATTTCATTTTATATAATTTTTATTTTGCGAGTGATATAATTATTTTATTATTTTGACAATTTTTGGAGCAAAATGTGATGTCCTTTTTAATATTTGATACAGTGGAAAAATAATTCTTAATTTTTCAATAATTTAATTTTAATTTCTTCTTAAGAATTTATTGACATTTTACTCATTACTGTTTCAACATTTATATTATTCAACACAAATTTAAAGAAAAAATAATAATAATAATAATTAAAACGTCAACGATCGTCTCTTTCAAGGTATTTTCGCAAATCCCCAATCTTCACGGAATTTTTCTCCTCGATTTTTTATGAATTAGTCGCACGAAAACATCAAAATATTATCACAGTAGCACCCGTATTAGGAATAGAATTTAGGGATATCCAATTTTTAAATCCAATTATATTTAAATATATTAGTTATTATAAAATTGATAAATTTTACTCCCTATTTCTTCTCGGCTTGTTTGCATGGCACATATTTTAATTTTTCATATTCCGTATAATATATTTCTTAAAACTTTTTTCTTAGACAAATTGAAATGATTTTTAATATTCTATTTACAATTAAATAAATTTTTGTTGAAAAAAAACTAAAATAAAATATGCCTGGAAAGTAAATTTTTTTTTGTTTATAAAAAAAAACATGTATTTAAATTAATGTGAATCAATTTATTCTTTTTTGTTTTACAGATGAGCTTGGAATCAACAAGGACAGATACAAGTCCCTGGCTGATGAAATGGATTCAACATTCGCTGAATTGGCTGGATACTAGTCAATTATTTTTCTCGATGAAAAAAAAAATACAAAATTTCATCTTTTTAAAAAAAAAGTGTTCGCACCAACTACTTAATGAACATAAATGAAAATAAAAAAAAAATAACGAAGTCCCACATGAGACGTGAACATTACGACTCGAGCTTCTTGATAAACCAAAATCAAAACACCGATCGAGTAAATTTTAACGAAGAAAAAACACAAAACAAAAAACACTTATTCACTACTACTATTCATATCCAGTTTACATTGCGAATTTATTACCGGAAATAGATTTTTCTGTTATAAGATATTTAATAATAATATAAATCTAATTATAACGTGATGTACGAAATGTTATGCTACGAAATTTAATAAATGGCTGTAACTGTTTTAAAATGATGTCTGTTTAATTTTTTTTTCTGACTACATATATAATTATTATTTTATAGTCATTTTATTTATTACATATATATTTTTTAATAAGAATCGATTTACCTTAGTCATAAAAAAATTACTTTTATTGTTTGGTGTTATTAATTAAATTTATTTTATTTAATACAAAATTTTGAAAATAAATAGTTTTGTTTCGTTCCATCGGCTTAGATTTGCTAATCTGTTTTTTTTTTAATTTGAAAGACAGTTAAAATCATTTTTTATATATATATTTTTTTGATAATTCTAAAAGATATAGTTTTAATTCTTATTTTACAATTATTTTATATTTTATAACGTAAACCATATTTATATTTTATTTTTCTGATAATTGTGCAGCCACAGATTGCGCGCATAAAAGACAATTAAATTCGATGACATAAAAAGATAATATTCTTCGCCTTATTCGCTCTATACTCACAAGATTCATTTCAAATTTATAATATTACAAAAAATTAAAAATAGAAATAAATAATAATATGATATATAAATAAATAAATATATTATTATTATTTATTTTATTTTATTCCATGTAAACTTTTTAGTAGGTTTTGCTCTTATATTATATTATATGTAAATAATTATAATTATTATAATTTGAAAAAAAGTAAAAAAAAAAACTTGTTATTGTCCACTCACCTGATCAGATGATCCATACCCCCTCATTTAGCAAGTGAAGAGAACGATCGAGAGAACTTGACTTCACAAGTTTGTGTGCTACAGATCAGTTTCAATGATTCAATCGTCTGAGATATAAGTATACTAAAATGAAAGTCATACTTTTTTCTATTCTTCTTTTAATCGGTATTTTCAATGTAAGTACATTTAATAAATATAAAAATTTTACGCGCATCTATTAATTAAATTGAAATGATATATAAATTTTTTTTTTATAATTTCTTCAGACTGTGAATTCATCGGCAATTTCAGCTGAAAATGAAAAAGTTATCGATGGATTAAAAAATACAACTCAATTGATTATCGAAGGACTAAAACGTTTTGAGGAAAAATTGCAATCTGACCTAAAAATTAAAATTAATCAAACGAAAGTTGACTCTTTAAATCGTATGGATGGAATTGTTTATTATGTTCTTCATGGAATTGAGGTAAAGTAATTTTTTACAATTAATTAATTTTTTTTTGGCTGAAAATCATAATTTGGTGTTGGACATTTTTTTTATAATTAACTTATTGAAGAAAGATATTTTTCCGAAATACAATTTTAAAAATCAAGAAATATTTTTAAAATAACCAATAAATAAAGTGTAAAAAAAATTGTTTAATTAAAAAAAAATCTTTGATTTATTTAGACGGCAGTCAGTGCAGTTAATGTAACTGGAATCGATGCTGTATCTTGTCAAAAAATTGCGAACAATAGTTTACAAAAAATAAATGAAACGACATATTTGAATCTTGACAAATGTACACCAATTTCTTTGTCATCTGCTGCTCCACTTTTGAAAAATATTACCAAAGCTATCCAGGTATTTAAAAATTAATTTTTAAAAAAAAAAATTTTAATTTCAATATCAATTAAAAAAAATTTTTCAATTTATTTTCAAGAATATTAATTTTCTATTTTTTTTAATTGAATATGAACAAAAGAATGTCATAAGAATGAAACACGTATGTAGTAAGGCTGCGCAATGTTATCTAGGATAGAGAAACGTAATCTCGTTTGACTTGTGCTTCGACACATACGAAACTTTTTTTTTTTTTTGTTTTTTTAAAGCAGCATAGGAATGTATGAAAGTAAAAGTGCGCTATATATTATACGCACGTATAAAATGAAAGGAAAACGCTACCTCCATGATTATGTGTATTTGATAACTTTGCGCAAGATTTTTCGGACCTCACGTATCTAATCGGGATTAATTTCAATTAATAAATAAAATCCCATTTTCACATAATCACAGCTAATTTACATTTATTTTTCAACTAAATTATTATCATTTTTATAATATAACTATGGTATTATAAATAATATAATTATTCAATGTAATATAAATCTACAATCACAAATATTTAAATCACAAAAGTCATAATATATATAATTTGTCGAATATTAAAAAATTTAATTGACATTCGATTAAATACTGTATTCAAAAATTTTTTTCTTAATTCCAACAAGTTACTTTTTGTTGTTTAATAGTAAAATTTTCAATTTTATTTCAAAATTTTATAAAATTAATTTAATGTTTAAAAGAAAAACAAATTTCAAGGTAAAATTTGTTTTACTTTTTATTTAAATTCAATTCGACCTTCTTTTCTTTTTGTTCATTATTTAAAAAGTCAATTGCAAAAAACATAAATGACGAATTTAACCTTGTCGAGTGTTTTTTTATTATCATTATAGTGCTAGAAAAATGAATATTGAATAAAATAAAATTAAGTGAATATTAATAAATAAAAAAATTAATTAAAATATAAAATAAAATTTCATTAATCTAATCGCTAAATTATTATTTCAGGTTGCAAATAAGACAATAACTGATCTCAATAATACAATTGCCACATGCTCTTCTGATAAATCAACGACAGTCGAAAAGTGTGTTATTAATAAAATTGAAGATTATGAAATTTCAATAAGAAAGCAACAAACAACTGTATTCAAAATTAAAAATGAAGGACTTACAGTAACAAAAAATGTGAAAATATCATCGAGATCGTGTCAATCAAAATTTGTCTATGATATGCGTGTTGAAGCAACATTTAAAGTTTATCGTGAAGCTAATCTTTGCATTCGAAGTATTTACAAATCTGGTCTTTATAAAATTTTACTTTAAACAAAATCTATAATATTTGTTTATTCCTGAGACAATAACGTAAATCAAAAAATTTTTTAAATCAGATATATATTTAAAAAAAATAAATAATAATAGTTAAGTAATTTTCTATTAAAATTATTTTATAAAAATTATCTAATTAACTAGATAATTAATTTGCTAAAAGAAAATTTAACTTACATATAATTATTAATTGTACCATATTTTAAAACATGAAAATATCAAACTAAACTTTCACTTTCGTTTTCGAAAAAAATCGACTCTTTATATAATACAAGTTTTAATACATTTCCTAGTTTATATTTATAAACGAAAAAAAAAAAATCTTAAAAATAAAAAAATTCTCTTATATAATTAACATTAAATATTTTCGACAATTATTTTTTCCTTCAAAAATACTTTAAAAACGTCAATTTTTTTTTCTATATGTAAGGTAACTATTTTGTCCTACAATTCTGATAAATTGATAAAAGTATTATTATTTGTTTTTGGTCCATTAATGAGATTTTGTGGAAAAATTAAAGGATTAAATGTACTACTCTCTAGTGGACTTGTACTGTGCCTTGGGTGCTTTGGAGTAGGTGGTCTGGGATCGGGTTCAGAACAACCAGTTAACCAATAAGATGTCATTCTTCCTTTGCCCTTTAATTCAACGTCACCTCTTAATTCCAAAACAAACGTTCCATATTTATCGAGAATATTTTTTGTTGCTCCTGATACATGAATTTTTAGAGCTGTAAAAAAGAAATATTGTTTTCTTTTTTTTTTCTACTAAATACTAAATATTAAAAAAAGATAACCAAAATTTATTAATAAAGAAAATGATCAAAATATTCTGCGTGGTAAAATTCAATTAGTTTGTGTTTAAATAATTTATTAATTATTCGTATAGATTGTACGTTAAAACTTTAATGATTTACAAAAATATTTTTATGGAAAAAAAAGTATCTATACAAATTGTAAATAATTATTTAAGATAAAAAATTTTCAAATTACCTATTTTGTACATGAAAAATTGTGATATTTTGAAAAGAAAATAAAATATTTTTTAAAAAACAATCTTTTTATAATTTTTACTGTCTTTCATTAAAAGAAAAAAATTTTGTTTTGTACTTACGAAGACCAGAAGATTCCATTCGAGACGCTGTATTCACAGTGTCGCCAAATAAACAATAATGTGGCATTTTTTGACCAACAACTCCTGCACAAACTGGACCACTGTGAACTCCAATTCTCACACTTAATTGAGAATCTGGTTTATGAGCTATTGTAAATGATTGAACAGCATCCAAAATTGCTAGAGCCATTAGACCAATTTCTTTTGCATGCTCATCTCCATTTCTTTCTGGAAGTCCTGATACCACCATATACGCATCTCCTATCGTTTCCACCTATTTTAAACAAAAATTTGTATTTATTATTATTTTCAAAAATTATTATTATTATTCTTTTTATTATATAAAATATAATGTAATTAAAATTACATTTAATTAAATTAAACAAAATAATGAATAATGTTTTCTACTTTTTTTTATACCTTATAAACATCGTAGTATTCAATTATTCGATCAAAAGTACTGTACAAGTCATTCAAAAAGTCAACAACTTCCATTGGAGTACTTTCGGCACATAATGCTGTAAATCCTACAATATCACTAAAATAAATTGTAACACATTCAAATTGTTCCGGTTGTACTAATTCTCCTGCCATAAGTTGACAAGCCACTTGTCTGGGAAAAATAATTTTTTTCATTTTATTAAAAACCTAATAATATAAAATATTATTTATATTTATGAAATTTAATATTTCAATTTATAATACCTAGGCAACACTTGATAGAGTAGCTCTTCACTTCGACGTTTTTCTAAACTCAATTGCTCCGTTTTTTCTTCTACTAAAGCTTCTAAATTATTTGCATATTGCTCCATTCTTCTCAATAAATCATCCATTAAATTTTCACAATATCCTCTACGAAACAAAAAAAAAAAAAGAAACTTCTATTAAATAAAATAAATATTTACAATATACGGCTTACAAATTTGTAAAAAATAAAAGAAAAAATGTCAGAAGAAATATTAAATAAATAAAAATTAAATTAAAATTATATCAAATTTAAATTACCATAAAAAATAGAAAATATGATTAATTTAAAAATTTAATTTCTTTTTTCTTGAACAAAAAATGTATTGCTATTAAAGTTATGGTAATTATTAAGCTATTAAAATTTATGGTACTGATGGATAAAAAATAAAAAAGATAAATAGAAATATTTAAGAAAAATTTGAAATAAAAATTAGACGAAAAAATTACTTCATTATTCCTCTAATTGTCCCACGTATAGTGTGAAAAGACGGTCTTTCATCTGGTATTTCGTTCCAACATTTTTCCATCAAGGATAAAATATCAGCAGGACAATCTCTTGGTGTTACCTCAGGTCTAAATGCAGGTGTTTCGCAAGCTATCACATGGCTTATTATCTGTAAATTCATTTCTAAATCAATGACAAGGTCATAAATATCGATTTAGAAAAGTTAAGTATAATTTAATTTTCAATTAAACAATTTTAAAAAAGAGAAAAAACTTTTCTTCGCTAATTTGTCAATTTTGAAAAAAATATTTAAAATCACATTTTTTTAAATTAATATTTTACTATTAATAAAATTATATTAATTTAAGAATGAAATTAAATTAAGATATATATGAAAAAAAATTCCAAGTTTATAAAAACAAAAATCTCATAAATACATAATGAAAATTTTTTTCAATTTGCCTCTTGTGATGTCATATAAGTTCTTGCTGCCTCATATGGACCTCCTCTGACAACAATTTCTTCTAGAATAATGCCAAAACTATAAACATCACCTTTTTGAGTCGCTGTACTTCCAGGCATAATTGTCAATGGTAATAATTCCGGTGCAATCCAAAGTAATTCTAAAATAAAAAATTAATATAATATAATATATAATATAATATAAAAAATATAATAAATATTGTTATTTAACTTAAAAAATCGTTGTTTAATATATTTTTGACTCAAATAAAGTTTTTTTTTCTGTACCTTTTTTGAGTTTCTTAAAAAATATAACAGTATAATAAAAAAAAAATAGAGAAACAATTTCTTACTTGTATAATAAGTTTCATCCATAATTAAATCTGATGGTGTTGTAAGAGTCTTGAGACCAAAATCCGAAATTTTCAAAACAAATCGTCCATCAATGAGACAATTACAGGAGCGCAATTTTCCATGTGTTGACACTTCACTTGCGTGAAGATACGCCATTCCCTAGAATTAAAACAATAAACATTTTGAAGGATCAATGAATCATTCTTTATTGAAATAAATTCGTTAATTTTACTCTCAAGTTTCTTAATTTTTCAGGGACGATAGGTTGTTTTTTTTTTTTTTTTTAATTAAATTTTTTTAAACGTGTAAAATATGAGCAGCTTTCTTTAAAAATTCATGAATTAAAATTTCCAGTGAATCGAATTTTATAATGCATATAATATAAATTTATATAAAGTAGAATTAATATTAAACTGAATTTTTTTACATTCTATAATTTTATTGAAAGTAAAGATTTATTTACTTTTTTTAATTTAAAGACTTTTAAAATAATTTTAATTTAATTTAAAAATTCAACTATAAGCAGAAATTCAATTAAAGAACAATTTTGTTAAATAAAAATTTTTAACAATGAAAATTTGATTCAATATAAAAAAATATATATTTAACCATTATATTAGTATTGATTTTAAACAAATTTTAATTTTCGTATAACATATTATATATGTCATATTTTTTAATTAATATTGAAATGAATTAATTTCGTAGTTTGGAAAAATGTTTTAAAGTCACCTTTTCTTCATTATATAGTATGTATCGTCTAAGGAGATAAAACAAACATGTAACTCTGACTCTGCACCTGCTCTACCTTGACGATGTCGTGGATTAGTGACATCCTGAAGTTCCAATCGAGCTTTATGGCCTCATTTTCAAGAACATCCTTTAGTGATCCTTTTGGACAATATTCCGTGAGAATTAAGACCGTTGGCGAAGGAGAACAAAGACATGCACCTACAAACCTAGAAATAATAATAATTATTAATAATAATAATTAATAATAATTTTTGCAAAATTTTATTATTAAAAAAAAATTCTGACAATTTAAAAAAAAATTATTAATTCAAATATGAATAGATAAAATTAATAAATTAAAAATAAAAATACTTTCAATATAAAAGAAAATAATTATTTAGTCAATAAATTTTAATCAATACAAGAGAATTAATTTGAAATTAATTTTATTCGAGTAATATGAAAAAGAAAATTATTCTACCTTACAGTATTTTCAGAAGTAATGTCACGAACTTGTTTGAGTTCCCATAATAATTTTTTTGTCACATCGACAACTTTTTTTTTAGAAATTTTTTTAATTGCAACTCTTTCGCCTTTATAAATGCCAATTGTAGTGAAAACAGTCGTTGGCGGTAAAGAACCACAACTGGCTTGAGAACCTCGACGCATTCGTTGTTCAAGTCCATAATTCTAAAATAATAAAATCGATATATGTATAAAATTTAAATATGAAATTTTCTATTCAAAATACATATATGACAAATAAATATAAATACATTATATAAGAATTTCTCTTGACTGACAGCTTTTATTTTATACCTTTACTTTTTTTAATCAATTTTAATGCAAAAGACAAATTTTTCATTTTTATGTTAAAAAAAACGTTTCTATTATTCAGAAATAATTTAGAGTATAAAAGTAGATATTTATTATTAATAATCTTTTTATTAATTTGTTACAAAATAAAATAATTTTTAAAAATTAGAAATAAAGTGATTTAAAAAAATTAACTGTCAGAATTTTTGATAAAGGCGAGATTTAGCAAATCATATTTAATCTTCGTGATTGTGTTTTCTCTGTAAATATTAACATTTCCCCTTGATGTATTGTTTGACGTAAAAAGGCCTTTTATCCCATTTTCTCGATAAATATTACCATACACATTATACTTATCATATTAAAATTTTTCAAAGAAAAGTTTTATTTAAATTGTAAATTAATTTATAAAAAAAAAATTAAGATTTAAAAATTTTTACTTTTTTAAAAAAAACTTATTTGCGAAATATTTCGATTCTTTACATTTTGCGAAATTATGCAATAAAGAAAGACACATCAATATTACAATGAAAGTCTTACGTCAGATAAGGCTTGATGTAAATTGATTTTTGAAGAAAATGGTCTTCCAACTTCTATAAGTAATTCTTCAGGCCTAATTCGCCAAGACATATTATTTAAATCAGCTGAAAGCCTGAGGTGCCTTATCACATAAAAAATTTTAAAAATTAAAAACATATATTTTTTTTTTATTTTTCATTATGCTTATTGTCTCAGGATGGAAGTTTCGCAAATTTTTAATTTGCTATCAATTCAAATGTCTCAAGACATTTTTCTTTGTTTAAAAATATACATCTGTTATTTGTCATTTACAAAAAAAAAAAAAAAAATGTGAAAAAAATATTATTCTTTTACCTGTATAAAACGCAGGCAGCAGTTATTGTGGCAAATAAAAATATTGCTAGAGCAATACTAGAATAAGCAACAAAAGTGTATGTTTCTGATTTAAAAGTACATGAAGCATCGTTTCCTAAAAATCCACACTCTGGAATATCTGCTGGTGGACCTTCTTGACCTCCAGGCCAATGTATTTTTTTCCCATAAACAGGATTATATTCACGATTAAGTCCTAAATAATGAGCCACTACTTCAAATCTGAAATGCCAAAATTTATTCTTACTCAATAATTTTTAATAATATTTTTGTACATTTTAATTTAATATATAATTATTTTTAATTATTAATGAAAATAATTTTGTAAAATAAACAAATTTTTTGTTTTCTGAAAACAAAAACGAAAAAAAGAAAAACAAAGTAGAAAAAAATAAATAATTTCAAACCTTCCGGTTATTGGATCCAAATCCAAAATACTATAGTCAGCATCACGATCTCCATTATCATCGATTCTAACGTGACCAGTAATACCAATAAAATTTCTATTCCACATTCTTCTAGTGATGGCAATTCCATCTCTTATATCTCCACCTTCAGTTAATGTTTCGTTCAATGCAATTCCAAGCAAGTAAACTCCATCGTAAAATGCTCCGATAAAGAAGTTTACCTTTTTTTAAAAAAGAAAATGATATATAAAAAGAAATATTTTTTTTTTTTTTAAACATATTATATAAAAAAATTAATTTTTAAACACAATAAAAATAAGTCATGACAAAAACAAATTATTTTTTTGTATACAGAAAAATTAATTTTTCCAATGTGGGCAATAATTACTAAATAATAAATAATTTTTAACTGTTATTTACTTCTTCGCCGTCAGAGAATGTGTAATTATAATCGCTTAGTGCTCTTAATCTCACATCATCAGCAAAATCTTGAAATCTAGGACTTGTTGGCTGAAGAAGAGACACTCTCAAAAGAGCTTCATATGCTTTCCTAGCAGTTGAATCTTCACTGTCCCCTATTTCCCAATCATGATCACTCCAATAAGAACCCTTGAATAAAAATTCAAAATTAATAATATATAAATTTATTATTTATTTATGAAAAAAAAATTTCATCAATTTATTATTAAATACCTTTTTATTTTAACATATTTTATTATTATTATTATTATTATTATTATTTTTATTATTATTATTATTATTATTATTATTATACCATGTATTATATAAAAAATTAAATTCAGGCATAAATTAATTAACAATAATTTAAAATATTTTTTTAAAATAATTGAATTCAGTATTATTTTGCAATAAAAGTGTTATCATTTATCATTATTATTATTATTATTATTATTATTATCAATAATGTGAAAAGGGGGGAAAAAAATATCAACACCTGAAATATTTCAACATCCAAGAAAGTCCATTCTCCTCGTGTCATACCCAACGCATGAGCAGCTAACATAAATTTTCTTACGAGAATCCCACGAACACTCAAGATTACCACTGGAAAAAAATTGCCATCCTTGATAATAACTCGTAAATAAGTGAAATTTATATTTATTTATATTTTTATATTTTTGAAAAAAAATTTAATTTTTTAAATTGAAATAATTAATGAATTTATTAAAAAAAAAAAAAATTAATATCAATTAATATAAAATAATTTTTTTTCCTTATTGAGATAAATATAATATAGAATTAAAAATTTGTTAATTACCTCTCGCGTACATACTGGCATCACGTAAATAAAGATGATATGGTTCTTCGTCAGAATTTCCATCGAGTTCTCTGACAAATTTGAGTAAACCCTCTTTTCTTAAACCATATTCTAAATTTTTTCCTACTGTCAATGAAAATAAATCCGATCTATCCAAAAGAAGTGCGACATGTGACCAGCCAAATTCTTTAAAAATACTCGAAAATACAAGTTTCAAACGACATTGGCAATATGACATTCTCGTCAATGTTGGATATTTACTTTTATCTTTGAAAATACCCTGAAAAAATATTGTGCAAAAAAAAAAATTCTATTTAATAATTAATTTATAATTTGAAATAAATTAATTTCAATTTTTTCCTTTAATTTTTTGTGATAATAATAAAAAAAAAATTAAAAAATGAAATTTTAATAATATTACATTGTTCTAACTTTCTGAAGCAAAAATTGTTTCTCTCTGTATAAGCGCGAAGTTTTACAAGAAAAATTGTATATCAACTTTTTACGGAGGCGCTGCTAACAATAATTAACTTTTTAATTTAATTAAGCGATACAAGAACTCCAGCGAAAAATTGTAAGGTAACACTGACCGTGGCCTTTTCCGCTGCCACGGGAGACCGCATAAAAATGTTATATTTTTTAATTAGCACGATCTAAATAAAACAAATATCACGTTTTCTTTTTCATATATTATAAATATATTAATTTATAAACAAAAAGCAATTAAATTGTATTGAAAAAATAATAATTAAATTCATATAAACAAATTTTAATTACCGAATCATTTTTCCATTTCTTTCCAAGAATTCCTGACGTAACGGATAATTCACCTTCTGATGGTGGCTAAAAAAAAGAACAATACAATTTTTATTAATTTTCCTTTTTTGATTAATGAATTTCAATAAAATTTTCTTTCATAATAAAATTTGTGCAAAAATAATTATTCCATTTTATATTTCCCTTGTTTGGCAATATATAGAATATGAGACGAAATTTTTACGTCAGTATATTCAATATTTATGCAAAAGAGAAAAAGAAAATATTTTTGTACTCTTAAAAGTTTTTTTTATATATATACACATATAAGCGCGATATAACCCCTAAAACGTAAAAAATTGTAATCTAATTTACTTTCAGTTTATTCCAATTTAAATTCAAGCACGAAAATTCTCGAACATGAAGATATGGGGTAAAAAGAGATTCTTTACCCTCTAAACTAAATTCACCCGCTGTGAAAATAAAATGAAGATTTAAAATTAACCTGCTGTTACGTTATTCATATTTAAATTTAATGAATGAAAAATAATTTTATAATGAATTCTGAAAATATACGCGATTATGTATAAATTAATTATTATTAATACCTACTAATTAAAATTAATTGATAAAATAATTTTTTTTTCAATTATTTTCTTTAGATAAAAATAATAATAATTATAATGAAAATTCTGAGGATTTTAATAAATTCGTTAAAATATTGTGAAAATTTTCATTAATTTTCGAAATTATAATTCTACCTGATCTCCCATCCCGGTGATAATGGGCGTATTCCAATAAGCAGCTAATCTAGCAACTGGCTCCAAAGCGAAAGCACATGCAGGTCCAACGAATGCAATTACACTATCTCGAAAATGCATATCTGTTGCTAAACCTGGAGCTCGAGCACCGCTGCATGATGGATAACTGAATTAAAAAGAAAAATTCATATTTTATTCAATCCAATAAATTAATAATTTTCATGTAATAATTAAAAATACAAATAATTTTCCATTAATAATTATAATTTTGTTATTCAATTTAATTATAATAAATATATATCTATAATAGAAATATTGTGAATGTGCGCGGAATTTTTTTTTTCATCCATGACGATAATAAATTTTATCAGCTCTTCTTAACTTTTATTTTCTTTTATACACACACAGAGAGAGGGAGAGCAAAAAGGGATTAAACGATATCTTACGTAAGATTTTTTTTAATTAGCAGAAAACATAAGAATTAAATAAAATTTCACTATAAGATTATTCCATTTCAAGAAATAAACAAAAAAAAAAAAAAATAGGACATAAAAAAAATCAATAAATTTGAAAAATTATTTTTTTGTAAAACTGAAATAAAATATATTTCAAACTTTTCAATAACATTCCATAATTTTATTTGATTATTTGTTTCTCGAAAAAAAATTTGTCAAAAATAAATTATTCTGAACGATAAAAGTAAAGTGAATTAAAAAAAAGTGCTTATGTACTCAAAAAAAAATAAAAATAAAATAAAATAAAAAATGCATAAACAACAAAATGTTGTCATCTGAAAATTATTTTAATTTTACATCCTCCCAGAAATTATATGATTCTAAATAAATACACAATTCCCATGCGAATGAAAAACGAGAAAATCTCTCTGCTCAAACATAAAGTTCATGACTATAGAAATATTCGCGGTATATCAGAGGATCAAGAGATTAAGACCTAAGGCTTAGAATATTGTGAGTCACATATATAGGTTTTTTTTTATTTTCTCCACTTTCTCCTACTCCTACTGGTTAATTATAAATATAAATTTCATAATTACCATCTAATTATAATTGTAAAAAAAGAATTTTATTAATTCTTTTTTAAATTATTTAATTTTTTTAAATTATAGCATTAAATTATTATTTATTGTACTATATTTGAAATATTATAGTAAACAATAAATTGTAGACTGAATTTAATTAATTAATAGAGTTAGGGTGGGACGTGAGTAACTGTTTTTCGAATTAGAAGAATTCGAGAGTGTTATATATATATATGTATTCAAGTTGATATTACGTTCTTGAACAAAATAATAAATATATTTTTTTACACACATGTAATTATACATAAAGGATCATATATTGAAACATATTCTCATGAGTGAAAGCGCTATTCGTGTCAAAGTGAAGCCGTACATCTACATCCCTTGCATATGTCTACATACATTCAATTAGCACGATATTGTACATTCATCCATTCATAGAAATTCCATTCTATTCAGTAGTAATTAAATAGAAACATATATAACATTCCTTCATTTTTAATATTAGTTTGCTGATATTTTTTTTAAATACCTTGAATTTTCTAAAAATAAATTTATTATACATACACTAATGATACATTTTTATGATTATTCCGGAATTAATTTTATTTTTATTTATAAGAGAAAAATTATTTCATTTAATAAATTAATACTTGACTACAAATAAATATTTATTTATATAAAAAAAAAATTATTTATATAACAAATAAATATTTGTTTATATAATAATATTATACTTTATAAAAGTCAATTTTTTACTAAAAAATTGTTTTCATTGTTATATTTTTAAAATTAACAGTGAAAATTTTCAATTTCCAGTCAGCAAAGAAAAAAAAAAAAAAAAATATTTCAAAAAATTCATAGAACTTGTCTCTGAGAGGAGAAATTTTCGCTTCATGAAAATATGATTAAAAAGGTAACACCATGACGTCCTCTTGAGAATTAAAGGACATTTTCCGTAACCTGCTTCTTATTTGTATAACCATATGTGACAGTCCCCGAGAGAAGGGACCTTAGCTCACCAGAGGTCAATATTGAGTTTTATATGGTAAATGATAGATTTTGAATTGCTTTTTCACATGCAAAAGTCAAAAACTGATTAGGATAATTGCTTTTGACACAATAACATTTTGAAGATGGGTATGTCAAGCGCATTTCGAGGCGGATTGTGGCACTCAAGAAATCTGCCCCACTACTTTACTTACACAACTATACTCTCGCGTACGTGAGCTTCGCGTACGTGAGACCCGAAGATACACGAAGTAGACGAAGCTCACGTATACAGAAACACAACGTTGTGTTAGTGTGGTGGGGGGACTTTTCAGAAGTTCCGCCCCACTCTTCGAGTTCCGCGTTTCTGCTTCTTCTTCAAACGCTTGCCCTGTGAAATTCGTTTTGGTGAGCTAAGGTCCCTTCTCTCGGGGACTGTCACATATATATGTTCGTGTAAAAATGATTTCTTTTTTGTTCATATTTTTATTTTTGAACATAATTTAGTTTTTCAATATTTTTTTTATATTAATAATAATGACAATAATAAATGAAAAAAATACGCTTACCTTCCTTGAACTTTTTGCAATTGAACATTATGTAGAGCTAAAAATTCATTAACTTCTGTTAATGCCAAATCTACAGCTGGACCACATCTTTCCAAATCAAAAGGACTATCCAAATGCGATGCCATTAAAACGCCAATGTTGTACACTCTCATTGATGGATCAAAATTTTCTAAATTAAAAAAAATAAAATTTTCAATTAGAATGAATAAATTAAAAATATTTAAAAAATTTGATTTCTTGAAAAATATAATCGTACAGGTCTGAGGCGGAAGATAAAAATTTTTTTTTTCCATATATTTCAAATGATTTGCTTATAGATTCAAATTTTATTCGGGTTGACTTGTTTGGATAAGCTCTAAAGGGAATTGAGTAAATTAAATTTAACAAAATTTATTTTTTGATATTTTGTATTATATTTTACAGAATTTACTTAATTGTAGATTTAAAAAAATTATAAATTAATACATATTTAAATTTAAATAGGTGAAAGACCTTAAGAAGGGGATTTTCAGTCGATATAGACAGCAAACGAATTAAATCGTTCAAATCGGAAATATGATTATTTTATTCATGAATTCAATTGCTTAGAAAGATGCAGATCACAAGGGGATGATGTCCATAATAACAAGGACATCGTATTTTTAATGCCTCAAGTAATCTCCTATAAATAATTCGTAAAAACGATGATACATTAACATATGTTAATAAAAAAAAAAATTATTTAAAAAAGTTTTCTTTTCATTCGAATTTTAGTAAAAAAAAAATAATAGATTACTTCAAATATCTTTTTTTTTTAAATTCTCTTTTGAAATCGCCGAAAAAAATGTAAAGAATAATATTTTAAATTAAATATATTTTCATTTTATGACAGTAGCGTCACCCCTAAATTGAAAATCGTGTCGTAAAATTGAATTATATTCTAAAGTAAACTTGTATTAACTGAAGAATAAAAACAACACTCGTTTAAATGAAAAATAAGCAAAAACATATTTTATATTTATAAAATATAACTATACGCGCGAAACTTTTATAACATTTTCTTATACAATATTTTATATTAAAATAATCTATTCAAAAAAATATTCATTTTAATTAAACAAAGAATTCTTTTTCATATGAAATTATTTAACAATTAATTTTAATAATATATATGTTTAATTGAATTAAAAAGAAAAGTAAAAGCAAACACTTGTTGAAAATTAAATATTTTGTTTAAATGCTTTTTTAAAAATCATATTCATATTTTTTAAACAAATAATATGAAAATTTAATCTATTATCCTCACCTGAATTGACAATATCATTGAATAACACTTTAATGATAATGAGAACAAAAAAAATCGAGGAAACAAAACTAAAATTATCATGTACTATAAATGTCATTATTTACAAAATATACATATGTTTTTTTTTATTATTTTATAGAATATTTATATTGTTTGAAATATAATTAAGACAAGTGTTTTTTAAGACGTAGAATAAAGAATTTTACAATTCAAGAGATCTGATATCACTGCGTGCCATGAGGTTTATGAAACATTAGGGTGAGATTCATCCTTATATATATAGGGGGTTGATATAGGAGACAAGCGCACTTCTTGCAAAGAATATTATTTTCAAAAAAAAAAATTATTTTACATTAAAACACTTTTAATATTATTTTTATTTTTTTTTACATTTTAAATACTTTTTACTTTTTTTCATTTTCTAAAAATAATATTAATTACTTAAATTAAATTTGTTTAATACTAAAATTATATATTTTTAATTAGTGCCTTTTCAGATTATAGATTTTTTAAATACATTTGAAAGAATATTTTCAATTTCATATCATTTTAATTTGTTTTTTTTTGTATTATTTAGCATAAACTTTTGCCATTTCCTTTAGTTTCATTTTATCTATTTTTCCAGTTGCTGTTTTAGGTAGTTTTTCTAAAAATTTTATTCCTCCACGTAATTTTTTACAATCACTCAAAAATGAGGTCATTTTCAACAGTTCATCTTCTGGTATCTGCAATATTTTGCGATTTCACGTAAAATTTAAATCGACCTCTTAAATTCGGTTAAATATATATATTTTTCTATTCTTTAGAAGAAAAAAAAATTATTTTTTAAAAAGTGTCCGAATTTTCGAATTATATGAATTTTCAAAATTTTGATATTTTCAATGTAACCCTTTTTTCAAAAGCATGTAACTTTGAAAGTATGTATTGAATTTAGTAAATTTTTGCCAAGTGAAGAAGAGTTCGCTGGGTTATTGGAAAAAAAGGACACGTCATAGTTAAATCAAACGGACGTATCCTTTTTTTCCACTAACCCAGCGAGTTTTAGTTATTCTTTGACGTTTGAATAATTTTAAAAAATAGCAATTTTTTATAAACAAATTAATTTTTTTCTAGTTTCAATACGATTTTTTTTAATTTGCTCTTTTAAAATGTTCTTGGAAACACTAAAAATATTTTGCAAATTTTTTTAAAGTGAACCTGATAATTCGAATCGTCCATATGTATTATTTATACAAATAATTAAATAATATGTGCCTTTAACGGAATTAAAATTAATCTATAATTTGAAAAAATTGATTGAATTTTCTTGAAACTCGTTACCTTAAAATTGTCTAATGTTGAAATAAATGCCATTGGATGTTCAGTATCAACTGAATGAGGTATTGGTACTACTGCGACTTCTAATACCTTTGGATGTTTTAGAAGAACATTTTCAATTTCTATGGGACAAATATTGATATCTCTATAAATAATTAAATCTTTTACTCTATTAACAAGATATATATTTCCACTTTCATCGTAATATCCCATATCTCCGCTGTGTAACCAACCTAAAATTATAAACATCTTTTTATTATAAATTTGTCCTAAACTATTGCAAAAAATTATTTATCATTACCATTTTCATCAATCGCTTCTTTTGTAGCTTTTGGATTATTTAAATAGTATTTCATCATATATTCCTGTTTAAAATAAATTTCACCTGTTTCATTTGGACCTAAAATTTTTTTAGTATGCACATCAATTATTTTTAAATCTAAATCATAACATATTACACCACAAGATTCATAATTATTGTTGCCCTTATTTTGTACAGTAGCAATTGTTCCTATTTCAGTTATTCCTAAAATGAAATTAAAATTTTAGTAAAATTATAGTTATATCAATATAATGTAAAATAATTATTCTATATTATATAATTATCCAGTCGAACATTTTTCATTGATTCAGATTTAAAAATGAAAGACCATCATTTTCGACGTGTACGTGTTTAAAAACTATATACATACCATATCCATGCAAAACTTCTCCATTTTTCAAGTTACTATTAATATATGTTTCAACGTCTGGATGAAGATATGAACCTCCAGTTAATATTTCTTCAATTGTTGATAAATCGTATTTGTCCAATAAACGTGATTTATATATTTCATTAAGAGGACTAATATTCAAAAATACCCACTGAATCTAAATTGAGAAAATTGTTAAAAAAATTTATTTTTCTATGATATGATTCTATAATAATCATTATAAATAATAATTGCTATCATAAACATATTTTTGATTGAAATTAGTTATATTAATAATTATTAAACTAGGGACCATTTTAAAGACAAAAATCTAAACTTAACGCAAATTATAATTTTTGATCCCTGTTTTATAATTATTTCTTTAAAAAAATAAATAATGCAGAACCTTATATTTTTGGATAGCTATACAAATTTCTTCAGGTGTTTTATTATTAATCAAAACTAATGGATAGATATTCAATAGACTTCGCAAGCCATTTAAAACAGAAGATATCCAATTTAATTGCGAAGTTTGCATCGTAACGCATGTTTTTCCAAATTCAAATTTTTTATTGAATCTATATGAATTGTAATGTAGAGAACGATACGAGTGTTGTATAGCTTTTGGTGAACCACCACTTCCTGAAGAAAATAATATCAAGGCATTGTCATCATGTTCTACAGGATAACAATGAAAATTATCAATTTTTTCTTCACTCATTTCTTTAATGATATCATCAAATGAATCAAATCCAGAAACATTGCCAAAAACGATGATTTTCAAATTGATATTCTCTTGTTCAACAAATTCTTTAATTTTAATTGCTGCTTCTTCATCAGCAAATATTATCTTTGGTTTTGTCTGCTTCACATAAAATCCAATTGATTCTAAAACTAATTTTTGATTTCTGTTTTAAATAAAATTTATATTTATAACTTTGGATCGTGATTTAAATAAATATTTCTAATTATTTTATTTTAAACAAATTGAAATTCCTTCATTATATACTAGAAGAAAATATATATTAAAGTTTGAGGGCTGTGTAATATAAGAAATTTATTAACATTTAATGCTTACCATCCGAGAAATCGGGATACCATGGATTGAGATTGACTCCAAGGAATAAGCTTGCACAAAAAGGGGCCATTTCTGTAATGATATTATAAGAGCAGATTGATACTACATCGCCTGCTTTAATTCCTTGTTTTTTAAGCCATAAAGCACAACGAATACTGGTATCTGTTAATTTTTTATACGTCCACGTTTCTTCTGTTTGTGCATCAATCTATGATTTAAAAAAATATTATTTTTCAAAATATTTTGTTATAAATTAATTTAATTTTTCATTACCAGTCCAATGAAATCGGGATGTTTTTTGAAAGTTTCCAACAATACTTCATTTAGACGAATATCTGATGCCAGTGGAGGTAGCCTTTGACCTTTGACAATATTATTTTCAATTATAAATAAAGGATTCATCTGTAAAAAAATAAGAATAATAATGTGATATATAATATCATTAAAAAAATATAATAAAGTTTAAATAAACATGTAATAATTTCAATTTAAAAAGTGAAAAAAATGCAATTTTATTTTCAGCTGACTCTTGTGTAAACATTCAAATTACGTATTTTTTCGTACGAAACTTGTTATTGATCTTATCAAAACAAAAATAAGAAATGATTTTGTTCTTTGTTTTCACGATAATTCGAAGTTTTATCAATTTTATTAATGTATTATTTATAAGACACATTATTCCACTGCACCTTCAATTTTTGCATGTTGCAAGCTTATGTGCTGATTGGATAACTTACTATTTTATGTTAGGCTGCTTCTAATAAAATTTTAGTAGAATTAATAACTTGCAAAACTAAAACTGAACACGAAGAGGAAAAAATTTGTTCTTAAATAAAAAAATTCTTATCACATAAAATATAAATGTCATAAAATACTCAATAGATAATATTTTAAAGATGAGTCAAAATTGTGTGCCAATATTTTTTTTTTTGGTTGAAAGTTTTTTTTTAAATAGATAATACACGTTTTTTTGTTTAAAATAATAAATAAAAAATACAAGTTAAACAGTTTTGTAAATTTTGAATATTTACAATAGTTATTGTGTTTCCAACAAAAACATATATATATTTGATGCAAAAAGTTCCGTCAAGCAAAAAAAATTATCTCAACTTAATAATTGTTTAAGTAACTAATGAAAAAAAAATTTAATCGGTAAAAAATCAGTAACGCTATAGCTATATAGTAACGCTAGCGTTACTGATTTTTAACAATTAAAATTTTTTTCATTCATTACTTGAACAATTATTAATTATATCGGATATCAATTTTATTATGTTTTCTATATTACACGCAAATTTCAAAAATAGAATGTTTATTATTTTACCCATTTGTAAATTCAAATTTTTATATTGAAGATATTATTTAAACTTAAGTCATAAATTTTGCTTTTTGATTAATATTCATCATTTTTAAAAAATTACGTAATTTCTTAAAAATATAAACAATTTGATTTAAACACATTTAATCAAATCATTCGATATTATTTTTTAATGATGGATATTAATTATTTCAAATAATAATGCCAGAGAATAGAAAAATTTATTATATATAGTTTAAGAGAAAAACAATAATTTGTAAATTCATGCAAAAAAAAAAAAAAAAATGTTTATCACAATAATTTCTATAAATATTCAAAATTCACAAAATTTGTATTTTTTATTTATTATTTTAAACAGAAAAATGTGTATTAATTATGATAAACTTTCGAGCATAAAAAAATTGGCACTATTCACAAATTTTGACTCTTGTTAGTTTATTAAATATCTATAGATCCGTACACTAATCAAGACACTAATCAATTATTCAACCACAAGACTTGTTAAGAAAGAAAACAAGGTCCTTATTAAGAAAACAAATTTATACCTTATTACAATAGATATAAATAAATATAAGAGACATCAAGGTATGATCAAACAAAGTTATATAAAAGTCATGAATAGAAAAATTGTTCCAATCAAATTTTTGAACTATAATTTGATCAGAAAAATTAGACAGACATAAAATGATGAATAATGAACCGATTTTAATAAAAATTTGAGGAGAGCCTAATGAGGAATCGTACTTTTGAGATAAATGATAAAAAAAATTATAATTACAAAATATAATTTATTTAAATAAATTAACTTTTTAATTTTTGTGATTAAAACAATGTGTTTTCCATCTATTTCGTGATTTTTTTTAAAAGAATTAAATAGAGAAAATATTTAAGAATTTATTTAAACAAATAAAAAAATTGGATTCTTAATAAATAAAGCAAATACAATATTTTTAGTTGCGAAAAAATTTTAAGAGATTTAATAAAAAAAAACAAATGAATGAATAAAAAAGTGAGATTATGAATAAATTATTAAGGAAATACAATATTTTTTATCACGTTAAATAATAATAATAATAAATTGAATATTAGCTTACCAAAGCCGAAAAATCGGGATACCAAGGATTGAGATTAACCCCGAGAAATAAGTTTGTATAAAAAGGAGCTCATGTAATGATATTATTAGAGCAAATTGATACAATATCATCTGCTATAATCCCTTCTTTTTTAAATCATAAAGCATAAGAAATATTGATATTCGTTAATTGTTTATATGTCCACGTTTTTTCTGTTCATGCATCGATCTATATTTTAAAAAAATATATACAAAAAATAAAATAGTATAGTATACATATTTGTATAATATTCATAACCTAATAAAAAAATTTGAAATCAAAATTTAAAAAAAATTGATTTTTTTTAAATGAATTAATGTTTCATTAACTGTCCAATAAAATTGGAATGATTTTTTAAAGTTTCCAACAATACTTCATTTAGACGAATGTCAAATGCCATTATTTTTTTTTTTGAGAAAAAAATAATTGTTTCTATATACACAAGTTTGTAAAAAATGATGTTTTTATATGCGAGTATGATTTTTTGATATATAAATTTTTTATTCACTGTACACGATTCGGGGGCATAAATTGCCTGTTAGTAACACTTCAATGTTTTAGAGAAAAATTGAGGAAATAAAAATCTTAAAAACGTGGTTTTGGGAAATTTTTTACACTTTTTTTTTATCAGTGTCCAGCAACTTTTGAAAAAAATTATTTGCTTTTTAAGATATTCAAGGTTCAAAATAATAACCTTAATATTATCATGATTTTCCAATAACGTAATAAATAAATAAATAAATAACGTAAAAAAAGGTATGTTATCGTTTTGATAATAACATACGAGAAGTGTGTCTCATTAAATTAATGTAGACTCGTTGTTAACTTCACGGCTTACAGAAAGCCCGCGAGAATTTCGGATAATTTGGTTGGATGATCTAGATGGCTAATGCTCATGCGCGTAATTTGAAAACATAGTGGGAAAATTTAAATCATTTAAATACATTTATCAGAATTTACAATGACAAAATAATAATTATACAATGTAAACAGTTTGCTGTGAAATATATGAAAATTTGTTTTTTCATTAAAAGAGAAATGACGTTTAATTCGTTAAAAGATTTATTCTTTTACTATTATTCATATATATTTCTTAAATATAATTAAATTATTAACTAATATTATATTATATATTTATTATTGACATTATTAACGAATATCTATTTTCCATTTTTCTATTATCTAGCAATATTTAAATTTCTTTCAATAATTTTATATTCTAATTACATACTTCATAATACAATTATCGTAAAAAAAAAAAAAAAATATTACTTTTTGAATGACATATTTTAATGCAATTATAAAGCACATATAGCTTTTACAAATATTTTTTTACACTATAATTACATAAGTTTTAAATTTGCTTACACATTTATTAATGACTTTTTTTTAATCAAATATTTTTTTTTTGCAAAGTCTATAATTTCAATTATAAATTATTATTAATAATATAATATTACATACCTACAATTATTAAATATATTTATATAATTTTTTATTTATGTAAATATATTATATTATTAATGATAATTTATATACAAGGTAATTTCATATCATAATTACAATAATATGTCAAATATCATATTATAATAAATATGTATATGCAACTACATATTATAATAAATTATATTTTCTATATTATAAATATCGTTTTATATAAATTATTATAATTGTTCTATGTAAATATTTAAATTTTTAATACTAATATGTAAATAATTCTAAAAAAGCATTGACAGATATATTATTTTACAAATTAATATTTATTCATTGAATTTAATTTTTTCTCTAAATTTTCACTATTTATTGCTAAATAGTTATTTAATTTATGATTAAAAAGAAAAAAAAATTATGTAACTAAATTTTATTTTAATTAAAATTTAATTTTCTCAAAAAATAAAAATTGCATAACAACCTTTACTTTTTCTTATATAGTTTTCAATGTTTTTCTTTCAAAATTTACTAATATAATAAACTTCGTATTAAATTTTCATAACTAACATTATCTACATTTAAATAATAATAATAATAATATTATTATTGTCAATATCACGTTTACAAACGAGAGCAAACGTCAAATTCGTGTCTCTATTGTACAACTAAATAATTAAGAACTGTACGAACAGAATTATTATCCGCATGATAATCACACTTAAATTAATTTAGTCAAAACTGGACTGCAAATGTACGTAAAAATACTTTGCTACAATGTGTTTTTAACTTTAACAATGCCCCTTTATTTTCAAAAAAATTTTTCTATAGTATTTCCAAGGTTTGACAGTTCACACAATTTGTAAAAATTAAAGAAAAAGAAAATTATAATAATTAGCTCAATACAAAATAATCAATATAATAATCGTCGTTTTCATATAATAGGAAATATTGTAATAATAAAATAAAATCGCAAATCACAGTTGATGAAGTATACGTATAAATGTATGTATATATAAAGAGATCAATTAAGATTCTCGTATCATTTTGCTTTTTACATTGATTCCTGTCTAAATATATTTTAAATTTTTCTTTGTTTTTTTTTTTACTTTCCTTCGATTATCACAAACTCTTATAGAAATAAAAATACTTCTGATTTTTTTTATTTTTGAAAAATTCACATCAAAAATTGCAAGACAAGATTTTAAACAAAGTTTTCATTTTCTAAAAAAATATTAATTTTATGCCATAAAAATTTCATCTTACAATTATTATTATTTTTAAAAAAAGCCAGTAAAAATTTGAATTACATTTTGTAGTAAAATCATTAAAAGGATCAATTAACAAAATTAAAACTAAAAAAAAGTGTGATATTAATTTCTCAATTTTTGTATAATTGAATAGAAAAAAATCAGATGTATTCGTATTCATACATTTCATTTTGAAAATTAATAAATTTGATGAAAATGAAAAATTTTCGATAAAAATACTCGAAAATAGATATTACATGAAAATTTGAAAAGCAAAATGACGTGAATAATAAAACGATGTAGCATCAAAAATAATTGTAAAAGCTTACTAAAGTAGTTTTGTACTTGGATGCATACGCTAAACTTAATACTTGAACATGGGGACCATATAAATTACGTATAATAATTCAGGGACGAACGATAATATCATTTTTTTTATCGATTTTTCGCAAAGAAAAAAAAATAAAATTCAGCTATATAATATTCGATTTACAACAATCAAAAGATACAAAAAACAAATCCTGACTTTACTTATTGCTTTAACGAGGAGATACTTTCACATTAAAAAAAAAAGAAATTTATTGAAAAAGATTCACTTTTCAAAAAAAAAAATTTAATTAAAAAGTTAAAGTTCTAACATTTTCTTTTAATTAAAGTTAACTTGCTTTTTTAAAATAATAAAAATTTTTTCAAATTGTGTAAATTTTTGACATTTCACATTATTTTTTTTTATAATTTGAATTGAGATCATACATTTTTTTTCATTTTTCTAAAAGATATTTCTCTATTTTTTCATTCTCTGTTTCATTTTATTTTCCCTTTGATTTCTTATCAAGAAAAAAAAACTGTTAAAAACAAATTAAAACATCAATAATAATTATCATATACAAGAAAATGTCAAACTTAATAATTGCAGTTTCGTAAAATTGAAAAATTAAAGAGTTCGACATTATAAAGTAACATTAAAATAAAAAAGACACTAACCCTAAATTTTCTAAACAGAAAATGTGTGCCTTGAATAAATTAAATTGAAAAATACTTTTCCTATTAAAATTTCCATTGGCATTCTTTTGAGATTCTTTTGAGTAACTGATTTAAAACAATCAATTCAATTATTACACGGGCCATTTGTAAATATTAAATATAATATACTAAATATAAAGCTCATGAGGCTTTGTTTCATTCTTTCTAAAGATTTCTTTTTATCAAAACAAATTTTCGGGGAAATCAATGATGATGGTGATACGTAATTATTGTAAATGATTTCATTCATCATGGGTTAAAATAAAGAAAAAAAAAAATTTTATCAGATCCTGCTGATCTTTGTTACGAAAATTTTTCTAACTTTTAATTTCACCTGCTTCGAAGAGATTTTTTTTTAAACAGATCACAGAGATATTTAACGATATCATTTTCTCGTTGTTATTCGCCCATTTTATTTGGAATTCCATCTTATGATGAATGCTTTAAATTCTTTTTAATTCGTCGATATTTTAAAATTATGATCATGTGAGATTCGATAAACTGTAATTGCTACTTTTAAAACTTCAATCCTCGACTCGTATCAAATAAAAATGATAATTGTTCAAACAGGTGTATAATTGCCTTTAGGTTTGTAAAATATTTGTCCACGGACAATGCGCCTAAATATTTCACTCAATAAAAGTGACTTTTCTTTTTTAATCTTCTTAAGAACTCCTCGATTTTCCTGAGCCCTACGTGATAAATATGGTAATACTTCTTTCACTGGACCATAGGGGATGTATTTGTAAGCCGAGTATCCCGATTGACCTAAAAAATTAATTTTTTTACATTAATTAAAAATTCTTTTTTTTTAATTTTATTTTCATTTTCTTTATTATTCATTTATTGTAACAATCATTTAAAAAATAGAAAATATGTGAAAAAAAACTCACCCAGAGGGAATGTAATGTAATCACACATGCCTAATAATTGACCGAAACAAATTACTTTGTCTTCGGGTGAAATTCCAATTTCTTTCATTCTGAAAAGAAGCGAAAATTTGTTGTCATTTAATTCATTTATCTATTTTTATTATTTGAAATAATAAAATTATTAAACATTATTTCACTAAATGAATTCATAAGAAACTTAGTACTTTATGTACACTACCGACGGAAATTGTCGGTACGACTAACGTTCGAAGAGTGGACATTCGGCGCTGACTTTAAAGCAAGATATTTCAAGTTAGTAAAAAGTTACTGAAATATGTTAAAAAATGTTCAAGCCTATTTTTCTACAACTCAGCAGCGAGGCGGCAAATAGTGATGATCGACGGCTGATTTGTAGAAAAACATGCTCGAACCTTTTTTAACATATTTCAGGAACCACAAAACATTTTTTAAGTTTCAAAAATGCAAATTAAAGCTGAGATCTTAAAGATTATGTTGTAAAATTGTTGAATTTTTTTATACATTATGCTAGATTATGCCGGAAGTCAAAAACATTAGTACGACAGGACGAAAATTGCATAATTCTTGCTTGAAATCTTTTCGGTGTTATAAATACAATAAAAAAGAAAAAAATTTTCTTGATATACATTCAGAAGCAGAATTTTATCAGCTTTCCAACCATCTAAGTTAGAAGTAACTTTTTTCTAATTTGAAATATCTTGCTTTATAGTCAGCGCCGAATGTCCACTCCTCAAACGTTAGTCGTACCGACAATTTCCGACGGTAGTGTACAAATGAACACAAAAATGTTATGAATAAATAATATTTTTTGTAATAAAAAATAAAATAAAATTGACGTACTTTTCAATTGCAAAACGCACAGTATTCTCATTGTGCGATGCAACCATGATTCCGATTTTTTTTGGATCCTCTCCCTTATCTTTGTACTGTTTCATTCTTCGTAAGCACTCCATCAAAGTTTTATGATAACATTCCGTAGTGGCTTCGAAAGTTGGATTCGTTGGGTCAGAATAACCCATTGCTGCAGCGCGTGCTCTTTCCTTAGAAAATAAATTAAAAAACGACATTCCTAGTTATTTATGAATTATCTTAATTACCATTAACCTTGAGATAAATGTTTTCCAATCCTTTTGTCTTTTCTTTCTTTTTTTTACAATTTCAATAAATTTAATAAAGTACTTAAAAATAATACTACCAATTTTTTTTACTTTTTTTCAGAACTGCAATCCGTTGTTTTCCCAGGTTTCAAGTTTTTTCTTTATTTTTTGTTTTTTTTTATTAATCTGAAAAATTAAAATTACAAACCTGTTCGATATAAGCACCGCGCACTATTTTCGCACCAAAGTAGAAATTTTGACGTTCCGCCTGTTCAAGATCGGTTTTCACTTCATTGTACGCATCCTTAAGATATGTTTGATATGTGTTGAACACCACAGCCTAGGAGGGAGGTAGACCACACATTGAATTTGAGAGCTCATTCATTTATCCTCTGTAATAATACATATTTCATGGCACTATTCACACAATAAAATTAATTACCTTCTTTGTATTGTACTTGCGCATCATCTCCAATGTTAACCGTGATATTGCCGGTTGAAAGTATGTCTGCTCTGCGTCAATCATTATTCTAACGTTTAACTTGTCAGCTATCTGCAAAAAAAAATTCATTTTATTGGAAATTTTTCTTTTCTATAATAATAATAAAAAAAGAAATTAAAAAATTAAACATAAGCTTTAAAATGTAATGTAATCGCAGTTATTCCTTAGAGGGTGAGTAAATTCAGTTTAATTAGGATTAAAATTTCAACAAAAAATGTTTAATTTAATTAAATTGCAAAAGTTTTTGTTTCTAATTGAATAAAAATAATTCTAACATACCGAGACAAGATTATTAAATCTTCTAATCATATTTCTAAACATCTCTTCTTCTTTGGATGTCAGCTGGGACATAAGTTTCACCATTTTTCCAGTTTTAATGTCCGGAACTTGGAAAGTTTCACTCAGCTCGTAATTCTCATCGAGGATTCCACTCCAAGGGAACAAGTGAATGACACTGTATTAAAAAATAATTAAATTAAACTAAAGATAAAAGAAAAAATTAAATTTCACTTTAATATCTCAATTTTTATTAGTTATTATTTTCTTTCGGTTAAAAATGAGAAAAAGAAATTTAAACTTATTAAATAAAGGAGAATAATTTTTCCATAATATGTTAAGTATTATACAAATACATTTCAATATTAACAACAATAGAATAAATATATTTAAAAAATAAAAATACATGAATGAATAAAGAATTAGAATTAAAAAGATGAAATGAAACTATAAATGTTAAAATTGTTTTAATTCATTAAAAAATAAAAACATACCTAACTGTATTTTAATAACAGCAAAGATTCCACTTCACTCAAAGCGAAATAATAAAAGAACACAAACAATTCAAAGCTTTTAATAAAAAATCATATTTTTCTAAAATTAAAAGCAAATTTTTTTAACTCTTTTAAAGCCTTATTTTATTGAAAAAAAACTACTATCACCATTTTTCTACGTTAAATATGAACAAAACTTCATTCAGTTTAAAATTAAAAATACCATTTTTATCCAAATTTAATTTTACTATTTTTAAAAAAATTTATTACTACTTCCAATTTATATTTATTAAATATTATAATAAAATCATATCTATTTATTTATACGATTCATTGCTTTTTTTCTAACCTAATTTTTCAAAAATTTGACTCAAAACAGAAGTTAAGTCCCATATTCATTTTTCTTTTGCACTAAGAAAGAAAAATTAAAAATCTTTCTTTCCGAATAAAAAATGTTATTGAGTAGTAAAAATGCGTAAAAATTTTAATTCTTACTTTCTGCATGTCCAAGAGACCATTTTCATGAAATAAAGAAAACAGACTTTGTATTAGCAAAATATGAATTGTCGAAAAATTTGAAATTTCAAAATTCTATAAGAATATTTTTTTTTTTGTTTCTAATAAACATTTCTTCTATAATAATAAGATAGGTAACAATTAATTATATTATATATAAAACTATAAATATACTTTTTGTTAAATAAGTGAGAAGTTAAAACACGTAAGAAGAAATATGCGGTGCATTTTTTTTTAGTATAAAAAAAGAAATTAGAATACAGTATTGACATATTATTAATATCGTTAAAAACAAACACGGAATGGCGACCTTGAATTTAAGAGAAGAATTAAATTTACTTGAAATATAAGAAGGGGAAAAATTTTACGTACCCTTCTTTATCCGATTGAATTTTATCGAGGAATTTTTTCACTGGCACAGCATCCTGAATATGTGCGTCTTCGAATTTCTTTTTAAAATCATCAGGTTTCGCATGATGATCCAAAACTGCACCTTCACCACCAACAACATCATTCATATACTGCCGTGCTCGCATAATTACTTCAGACAATTGAAGCTAAATAAAGATAAATATAAATTAAATAATAATCAATTTTAATAATTAATGACAAATTTAACAGTATTGTTTTAATTGAATAGTAAAAAAAAGTGCAAATATTACATAGTCATGAAAAAAGTTTCGAATACCCTAAAAAAATGTCTGTTTATTAGAAAATATAACAAAAATTAATATTTAAAGAATTCCGGAAATTTATGGACATTCTTATTAATATTGAATTAAATTAAAATATTATTATATTTTGTACAGCTATATAAAAAATTAATGTTTATTTTTCTTCAGTTTTTTTATAAAAAATATAATTTTACTAACAGGGTGGCCAATAAAATTTAGAAATAAAATTCAAGGCTCTTTTCAAGTAAAAAAAATTTTTTTTCAAGGTTTCAAGAGAGCGCTAAATAAAGTTACATAAGATATTAATATATATATATACTATAAAAAATACCTCTTAAAGTTTACAAAAAAGTTAATAATTAAAATAAATAAATTTTAAAAATATCTGAATAAAAATAATAATAAAAAAAACGTTTATAACTATATATAATACATACCAAGAGTTGAGGTCGACCTAGAGCAGTTAATTTAACAGCAGTGATACCTGTACCCATGGAGGCATCTTAAAAATAAGAAATATATTATTAGTTATTAAATTAAAAACATAAAAAAAGTTTTTTAATTAATCAACAATTTTTAATTAGTCAAAAAATGAAAATTTTATATTTTTCTTTACAATATATATTGAAAAATTATTTTTTGCTGGCAAAGTTTTAGAAAATCTATCATTTCAGAAGTCAACATGAAATTCTATTTGGCAAGAGTTTTAATTGCAAGCATCCGAGCAAATGATTCAATTTAACTAGGAAATTCATTTAAATGTAAATAAATTCATTTCAACAATTTAATAATATAGTCGATAATTTTTTTCTTGCTCTGAAGTAAAAATAAAAAAAAGCGCTGTTCGCACTTTTAAGGTTGAGGATTTCTTTTTTTTTTTCATCATCATTGGGACCAGAAAACAGGAAACTCACTTGCAATGGCTTCTAAACTATTAATGAAGACGTCCATGTTTCGTTCACAAGAGGCTTCGTTCAAATAGAAATAGGTCCTCGCGGATGAAACTTTGTATCGACGATCGGCGAATGATTTCTCAACATGATACTTTTTCAATGCACCCTCCTGTTGTTCATCTCCGGCTTCTGAGACTGAGGCTCTAGAATTTAATAATAAAGAAACAAAATAAAAAACCATTTAAATTAAATATAAAAAGCTTTTCACCATGAAGAAATAAATAATTTAACAACAATAGATAGAAAAAATAATTTCTCCAAAAACTACAAAATTTTTTAATTTCTTGATTTGTTTTTTCAAAATTTTTTTTCTATAATGCATTTTCTATATATAGAAGTATTCTGTCAGTTTGAAAATAAATTCAACGTACTGTAATTCCCTTCTCTCGGCTTCCTCTTGCGAAATATCTTCTTCAACGGAATAATCCAAGATAGGTTTCACGCCAAATTGTCGTAGTCTATGAATAACAGGTCTGATTTTTACTTCGTCCTCTCCTGCGACAAAATGTCCATAAAAAGTGGATTTCATCAGCAGAGAGAAGAGTTTGTCACCTAATGCTTTATTCACTATTTTCATAATCTGTAACAAAAAAAAAAAATTAAAATTTCAAAAAAATCTCTTGTAAATCAAGATAAAAAAAAAAAATTTATCTGAATGAGGAAATAGTGAGAGAAACACATGTGAATGAAATTATTTTTACGATTCATAAAATTTGATATCGTAATACCTTTAAACGATGAGATAATCTAAGTTACGCATATTATATATTTTCTACATTGCAATTGACGCATTTTAACTGGCAATATAAATAACCAACCACCGTTGTCTAACCACTATTTTGCAAAAATAGCCCAGGCATACGTTGACAATGAATAAATAAAACCTCCACACAATGTTCATCAAAAATCTCAAAATTGAAAAATTTTGTAAAATAAAATATCTATATGAAAATTAAAGTAAATAAAAATACAATTGTATTTCTCTTTTCACCTAGATATGAAGTAAAAATTAAAATGTATTATGTAAAAAATATATTTATGCAATATTTTATAAATAAATGTTAACGAAATAAAAATGAGAATTTAGAATCGATATTTGTAGAATATAAAAATTTGTATTTTTTAAAAAAATTGACTACAATACTTGCGATACATTTTAATTTCTGAATTTTCAATGTATATGTACGTAATTGTGTAACCAAGTCAGTGTATTTATCACAAAATGAATAAATTTAAATAAAATCTGTTTTTACTGACAAATTAGGGGTTCATATGCTTAAAAAATTTCTGAAAACTTGTAAATAATTTGGTTCATTTCTTTAGAAAAAATAAGTTTGCAAGTTCAACTTCAAGATCACAGTTAAATATAAATCTAGATAATAATCATCTTGTACTGTGACGTGTATTAACTTTAAATTTAAACTTACGTATAGCTACCATACTTCTTTGGCAAATTGTTCGAATTTTCAAGAAACATTTAGAAAAACATAAATATTTTCGAAATGCTCAATATTAAAAATATTTATCAAATGCTTCTAAGTTTTGAATTTTTTTTTTTAAATTATTTTTTAATAAATAATTTTTAAATTATAGAAGTCTTCAGAAATATTCTAAATCTTTTCAGATTTCTCATAACATAATAATCAGGGTGTCTAGCACTTTTTCCAAATAAAATTCCACAACTTTTCCAGGTTTTATCAAGTTCAAAATTTTTTTCCAGATATTATTTTAATAAATTTTAATGACAAAAATAAATTAAATGTACAAAATTAAATTATTTTTATAATCTTTTTTCCATTGAAAACTATTAATTAATACATTTAATTTTTGGTATTTTTAGGCCCCGGATTGAATTTAGGGGAAGAAAAAAGACGTTTTTAGTCGATTTACATTACAAGAAAAGTCGAAAAAGTCGATTTCTTATTTTTAATAAATACAATTAGATAATAAATATTTTATTATTATTATCAAACAATTGTTATTAGAATTTAAATAAATTTTTATTAATTCTCTAATTTGATTTATGCAAATTATTCGAATTTAAATTGCTGAAGATATTTTTTATAAGCTTTTGATAATAAATAATTGAATTTTAGAGAATTTTGAATTGAAAAATGTTTTAAAAAAATTCAATTTTTAAAAGTGTTTATTAAATTTATTATAAATAATTAATTTTCCGAAAAATTTTAGAAATAATTAAATTTTTAGAAATAATTGAATTTCAGGAGATTTTAAATTTGAAACTTTTATAAATTTTAATTGATGAAATTTTATTACAAAATTTAAAGAATAATTGAATTTAAAAAAACTTTCATTTGAATAATATTTTAAATAATAAAATTTTTTAAAGAACTTGATTAAAATTATTGAATATAATTAATTTTGCGAAGAATTCTTGTTAATATTCATTTAATAATTCAGTTTTGAAAGATGTAAATTTTATATTAAAAAAATCGTATTTTGCTTAAAAAATGTTTTTAAAAAAAGTCAAAAAAGTACCTAATATTTTATTAAAATGAGTTTTTTTTATTTTACCAAATTTCGTGTTTTAAAACGTGGTTGGAAAAAAAAATTCTTACACGACATAGAAAATTCCAGGGCCCAATGAACTTAGAACTTTTCCAGGTTTTTCTGATAAAAATAAAAATCAACAATATTCGTGATGAAAACGAATTTCTATATTCTAAAGTGAATAAGAAGATTTTGTTGAATAAAATATATAGAAATCAAGTTTAGCCCTCTTAGATCGATTTAATAATAATTTGATTTGTTCTCAGGTCGAGGGAAAAGAGTAAGTTCAAGATCAAGTGGGATCTCTCTCTCTCTCTCTAAGTAGCTTTCAAGTATATTCGTTTTGAAGCCTATGAATATCAGGACAGCCATTCATCATATACTCGAGATTTATAGTCATGACGCTAAAAGAAGATAATATTTAACATCTTAGAAAGTGTGTTAGAAAAGAAGATAACCGCAAGCATAAAATCATCTACTGCGGATCAGTGATATCGTAAATTATGCTCACTGATATAAAATGTAAACAGTTCCACACGCCAGATATTTAACAACAGGTGTTGAAGATACAAAATAATTCACCGTCAAGTTTCACGAGACTGTATAATGCTTCACTTTACGTAATTTCGATCTATAAAAAAAAAACATGTCATTTAATTGAAAATTTTATGAAAAATAGATAAATTAATTTCCTTGAACAAAAATTATTTTAATTGAAATTCTATAATAATTTTATCACTATAAATTATTTTATTAACGTAATTTTATTTAACTTGTTATGTATTTATTTTTTTATTCTTTTTAATAAAAATTGTAATAATAAATAATTTAAAAAAACGAATATATTAAATGTACACATGTAGAGTACAAAAACTGAATCTGCGTCAGTTGAAATATAATATTATGTTTTGCAATTGTACCCATCAATGCAAGAACCAGACATAGACCATTGAAATCCAACGCTCTATGTTTAGTTCTTGCATCAAGAGGTTCAATTTCTCGAGTGAAACGTGATATAATTTTGATTACGGGTCTCGGAAGGTTGTTAAATAAAATCAAATGATTCTGCAGTCAGTGAAATAACTAGATTCAAATCTGACAATAATTATATCTAATATTAACGAATTAACTGTCCATTCAACTAATTGTAATTGATGTTGATTCACTAATTAAAAAAAAAAGAAGAAAAAAAAAATGAAAACAAAGTTGATAATTTATATTATTATGAAATTATATTGTATTATTTAATTATTAATTTCTTATCAAAAAATGAATTTTACGGAAATTCAAAGTAAAATCAAAATTTTCGTATATTTTTGAACAATATAGCAATATTGTTATCGTATGAATTTGCATTAATTTTTTGCTTAAAAAGCAAAGTATGTGAATGAGAGTGATGTGTCAGCAAATAATGTTTATGGAAAGAATCATCGTCTGGGGACTGTCTGAGGAAACTAATATTAAAGTGTAAAACTAGCACACATGACCTTTATTTATTCCGATTTTGAACTTTAAACGGACATAAGATTTCTTGGATTTTTAAATTTTTTCAAATTTCATATATATCGTATATATAAGAAAATGAGAATTAATTTTAAATTTAATAAAAATAAAAAAAATAATTTTAAAATTCAAAGCAATTAAAATTAAATGATAAATTCATTTAATAATTTTAAATGATTTTAGATTTAATGGTAATAAAATTAAAAAAGCTGAAACCTATTAAATAATCACAAATTTAATATAGAATAAAAATATATTGGAACACATGTTCGTGGAAAGCATGGCGCAATTGACTGTATAGTGTAAACACACGAGTAAGATTTGAATAATCGATAAAAAAAAATTATCTACGTATTACTATCAAAGTTAAAAGTTTGGTCAATGAATCATACATATAAATCGTTTATTTTGGTCCTTGGCAATGATGATTATTATTCGATTGAGTCAGGTATTTTTTTTTTTCTAAAATCTGTTTTTTTCTGTTATTGAACTGATGAATTATGAAATTACGTCTTGGAATGAGGATTCCATGAGAAAAAAAAATGATAAATAAATCACGATGGCGTCTTTTAGAATGTTAAAATCAATACCAGTCATATCTTAATGTTTTTTTTTTAATAGAAAACCACAGATCAATCACATACGTTTCAGTACTCAATCTACACCTATAAATGATACATGAAACTTTATTAATTGAATTTCAAATGACAATATCGAAATCTGTTTAGCAAAGCATTATGAATAATTAAACAATAATATTAATAAAAGTAAATAGAATAAATTATTTTTTGATATTAAACAAAATTAAGATTATGAAAATATTTAAATAAAAATATAGAACATAAAATAAACTTATTAATAAAAAAATATATATAACTAAATGATTACAAAAATGAATTTTATTTATTTTTATTGTTAATTTCATTGTTGAGATGGAATAATCCTTTTTTTAAAACTGTAATTTATCAACAGTCTGCAATTAAAATTTGTAATACTTGTTTTTTTTTCTATTACGTGAATTACCAAAGAGAATACCGGAAAAACATGACAAAGAATTTATTTCCCGCTTGTTATCATTATTTTTTTAAAATGCAATTTATTTATGTCTATATGTATTTACAGTCTTGAAAAAGATTAAAGAAAATTGTTTTTATCCAATGAAACTTTCTTCTTAAGTTAAATATTACTTAAATAAATGTAAATATAATTAAATAATTACAATAAAATAATATTAATATCAATTACAGTAATTCATTTTTTAAATTCTGTGCTTTTAAAAATAGGTAAAAATACTATAACACAAATTAATAATAAACGAATATAGTTAGATATAAAAAAAAATATATTAATTAACTTAAAACAAAAGAAATTGAATTATGAAATAAAAATACTCTACTTTTTAAACTTTCATTTTTTTAAACAATTGTTTCATTGTTATTAAGTAAAGTGAAAAATCCAAAAATGGTGTACACTAATTTTTTTACATAACCCACAAGATGTGAAGATTGTGTTCTAAAATTAACACGTGCCATATGTATACATAGAATAGTTTTAAGAAATCAAATTAACAATTGTTAAGATATTTTTTCATATTAACATTATCAACTTTAAAAAAAGGGAAATTTAAGTTTTTTTAAATATGTATACTGTCAGAAAAATCAATATATAACCTTCAATTGTAATATTCTTATACAATGATAATTAAATATGAAAAGTGAAGGTTAAATAGGATAGTAAATTTTTTTTTCTAAATATAATTAAATAAAATTAAATAAGATTCTTTTTTTCAGAGGTCTCTTCCCCTCGTGCTTACTTTTAAAATGTAGACATAATACTTCCAGAAAACTCACCTTGGAATTGTTCTCGACCATGTACTCGATAGAACATATTTGATAAACTACGTATGCTCGTATTAATTCAGTAGTTGTTTTACTCTTGAATGCTGCTACGGGATCATTAAACCTAAGATCCAAGGGGTCGATTTGTCGTGGAACAGGTTTTGCCTCAGTCCCAGATGTAGATGAACTTGTGGCACATCCTTTAACGCATAACTGCATTATATTCACCGACGGCCTTGCCACGCTCTCAAGGAAACCGGGAGGCAATGCCATCATAAGATATTTATTCAACTTTTTACCGGTACATCGTTTCGATACTGTTCTTAAAAATGCCATAATGTCAATAAAGAAACACGACAATTTTCAAGATGCTCCAATTCACCGAATATGCTTTTCTCTGAAGACAAAAAAAAGAAAAAGAAAAAAGGTTACGTTTCATTTAGAAAAGCAACCCCGTATAGTATTCGAAATTACAATGAAAAACCATTGACTGTAAAATAAACGATACAATTCTTCAAATGATTTATAGGAAAATGATTAATTTACCCCAAAAATAAGAAGATGATCAAAGAACTTTGATAATTTTAATGTATAAACTCTTCTTGAATTACTTTGAATATATAATTATTTGCTCCGATTTCCTTTGCTCCGCAACAAGATCACCGGTCTTCTTGTTGACTGGTCTAAAGCACTCAACGCTATATTTTATTGGCTGTCATGGAAATGGTACCAATTTAAAAGTGGGGTGCGTTCAGGGACGAACAAGTGCCCACCTTAATTTGAGATCATTTTTCTAAACTCACTTTTATTTTGTTTTTAATCACACTTTGATTATTGTTGTATATTTAAATTCTCATTTATTAAAAAAAAAAAAAAATACACATTTTACACCTTGAATAATTTTAATTTAAAATAAAAATATTTTTTTTAACATAACCTTAAAATAGAAAAAATGTTATCAAATAAAATTATTATTCTAACAAATAAATTTAAAAATAAATTATTTCATTGAAATACATTATTTATTTTAATTTAAAAAATATATTAGATAATAATTTGAATGTTAACGTGAGTGAAATAGGTAATTTTGACAAAAATTACAATTTTTTTTTATAAGTCAAAATTAAAATACGTTTTAACATAACTTAACCCAATTTTATATTATCTATAAAAATTTTTAAATTAAAATAAAAATAATTATTTAAAGATACCCTAAAAAGTTAGTTGTGGGCACTTCACTGAAAACGCTTTCGTGGTCGTCAGACAAATTAATATTCAGGATGATCCATTCTAGACATTTGATTGGTTAACAACGGAGGTGTGTTCGAGATATTGGAATTTCATTGGTCAGTTTATTTATTCTTTTTTATTACAAATTGACAATAGGTAATTGCAAAATACAATTTTACAGCTGCATTCCAGAATTTTTAAATACATTTCTATAATTATTTTCGATTAATTGAATTATTTGATAAATTGTAATTTTAAAAAACGAAAAATTCCATGAAAAATTGTCAAAAATTTTTTTTTCTAAAAATGAAATATAATAAATGTATTGTTGACAGGGTGTCCAGCAAGAAGAACAAAAAAAATTCCCTGACTTTTTCCTAAACTTTTTCCAATTTTTCTTTAATAAATATTTAATATTAAAAAAATGAAAAGTATAAATTATTAAAGTATTTTTATGATAATAAAAAACATTTTCTTTATTAGCTTTATTCACTTTTTCTTGCACCAGAAAATTTAAAAAATTCATAAAAATGTTCATTTTTGGCAAATTTTTAAAAAGTTCCCTGACTTCCCTGATTGTTGGACACCCTGGTTGATGAAAATTAAAATTATACATTCTATTAAATAATTAAAATAAATAATTAAATAATTAAAATTTATATCAATGACATTTAATAAAATGTAATTAATAATAATAATAAAATGCATTTAAAAACAAAAGTTTATTTTTGTGTTTTAAAATTACATAGAGATGAAAGTTTCAATAAACTTTCACACTTTTTCTTAAAAATACAACAAATAACAAAACGAAAGTATTACACGCTAAACATTAAAATTGTTTTCAATGTTATATATTTTTATATCACAAAAAAGTCAATAAATAAATAAATTTAATTCGCAATTAATAGGAAATTTACTTTTCTATAAATCGTAAATTGTTTTTTTAAAGTACACGAAATTTAAATTATATATTTTTTTAAATCTTAATATTATACTAAAAATGTCTATATCTTTGGAAATTTAAAATGTTATTGATTTTTATATATAATTAAAATTAAAAATATCAATTTTTGTAAAACAGTTAAAACCATTGTACTTTTGTTTTAACGATTCTAACAATTAAAATAAAATTTTTGATTACCTTCGATGCGTTCATAAAGAAACGCGAATTTTTTTTTTGAGTCACACATATATACTTTTAAGTATTATTTAAATTTAAAATTGTTATTTCAAATTGTAAAAAATAATGTATATTTATAAGTACATAGATTAAGCGATTTTGGATTATTATCTTCGCGATATTATGTTTTTTTTTATAGCCTCTGTAAATGAGAAAAATCATTTTTAAAACGATTTTCTCTTAACATATACATACCTTGCTTTTTCTTTCTCTATTTTTTTGATCTTAAAGTGATTTTAAAGAACTGCATCGAGCTTCACTACTTGTACTTTTGATGACAAAATTTCCGAATATTCCGCATCATAAGACGATCGATAGTTAATTAATTCTGAATAACCATCATTATCAAGATCGACAACTGCCATTGATTTCATTTGTAATTCAAGATTTGGTTGACACACATCATTTTTGCATAATTGAATTATATCACTTTGACTAGCATTAAATACACGAAAATCAGAACCATTCATGAGAATTATTAATACTCTCTCGGTTAAGATTCGTTTTACAATACCCGTTTTATTATCAATTTTCTTTTTTTCTCCATTTGATGTCGACCAATGCCAAAATTTCAAAACACATCCTATTGATTTTAATGGCTTATCCGTTTCATTAAGAATTGTTGGCAATGATGCAAATGAACCCGAACCAAAATAATTCCAAATTGTTCGCGTTTCATTTTTCTTTTGAACAGTAATACTAACATTAACTTGACATTCTTCGCCAGGACATTCGCCTTGATTTTTCACATAGAGTCGATAAAATGGACTCAAATTCCAAATATTTTTATTTTCACTCAAGGCCATTTCATTTGTAGAAGAAAATTTGGATGTTGATTCATATTTTCTTTGTCTATGTGATAAATTCGACAATAGATCATCCAATGCAATTGACTCCAATATTTCTAAAAAAAAATAAGTTATTTACATTCTATTTTGTTAGATAAAAAATTCTCTCAATAGTAGAAAATTTACATACCTTCACCATTAACCAATTTACAAAAATACAAAACAGTGAAATTCGAGGATAGAGCGTGAAGTCGGACCGATTCACAATTAACAATTGGATAACTATTCAGTGCTTTGCCATTTTCACCGGAAATAATTATCAATTTTATTTTTGGTTCGCCACCAACTTGAACAGTTAATAGATCGATGACATTGTTGAAATTCACATCCGGTAGGAATAATGGTAATTTTGGATAGGTGCGAATTGGCGATATCCATTGAACATAACCAGTGATTGCGTTAATACTTTCTAAAAGTCCTTGTTCACCGACTACAATACAACTTAACTTTCCTGAACCTTTAACATCCATGGAAAGACAATTTATATCCGTTGGAGCACCCTTGGGAATTGTCCACCATAAAGGAACGCCCGTTGTTCCTTGCATTGATAAAACTCCACCGCCATCGATAGGAATTTTCAATCCTGCCAGTTGTGAATTTATATTACCAAATTTTTGTCCACGAAGAAGAAAAAAAAGATTTGAATGTTTTCCAGGAAGTACGGAAATTGGACCCTGTAACTCTGAAATAAATAAAAAGTCAATAACAAAATTAAAACAGAAATTATTGAATCGAAAAATTAATTAATTTAACGATTATTACTTACCTATACCTTCTAATGTCTTTTCCCATGATAGAGAAGATTTTGGTTCCAAGGCCTCGGAGCAAATAGTTGAATTATCACAAGGCAAAACGTACAAAAATACGAGAGTAGTCAAAATGCATAAGAGTATTGAAAATACTAAACAAATTCGCCGTACAGGCGACATATCATGACGTTTCCATAAATCATGTCCATCTCCATCCAATACCATTATTGGAATATTGTCATTACAAAATCCAAGAGAACTTCGCCCATTTCTTATTCGATTTCCCATATTTTGAGACTCATCCAACGGATGAAATTGTCCATTTTTATGTGAAGATTCCTGTTCCAAGATTAATAATATTATTATAATAATATAAGAGATAGCCTCTTTTATAATAATATTATTTAAGATTTCTAACGGCAAAAATAATAATAATAATAATACACGTCAATAATAGAAATTTTGTTTTATAGGTGTAAAAACGATAGTAATATAAATTTTATACTAACCATCATTGTCATATCATCTGAATCTCTATGAATCGAAAGATTAGGTCCATTAAGATGATCATCCTCATCTTCTGAATCAGTATTACTGATACTTTGTGGAAGTGGTGAATATCCATTTCCACTTAAATGTTCACTAGCCATGATGAAAATGCAATTGAATTTCACTCGTCAATATATATATTGTATTACAAAGAATTTGGAAAATTCATAATTTTTCTGCTTTTAATTTATCTAATTCTTCTATACATTTATATTGTATAAAATTTTACTGTCAAAAGTTGATAATTAACTTATTCACAACAATGTTAACAACAGATATAGTTTATATTTAAAAAACAATGACACATACATCTGTCAAAAAACATCCGCGACTATTTTATAGGTTATGTTATCAAACGTTAAATATAATATATTATATATATAACTCTTTGAAAGATAAAAAGAAAAGATCTCAATGATAAATTATTAAAAAGTAAAAAAATTTCAGATATCAATAAACTTATCTTAACTGATTAAAATTATTAAACAAATTTTCCTTTTTTTTTTTAATTATTGTTGAAATTTATTTTTTGATTGGCTGTTAAAAAAATTATGTAGAATTGTGATTCGTGGATTACTTGAAGCATAATTTGGCGGAAAATTTAAAATTTATATAGGTGGCACTGAATGTAGACAAAAATTTTACATTGAGTTTACAATCATACAACATGGAAAATGTAAATGACAGTTCTTTTGATTTCTTGTAGTTAATAGGTTATGTAGTTTAACAAAATTAAATAAATCTTCTTAAAATTATAATAATTTGCATAAATTGAAACTCAATTTATTAGTAGAAAGGAGAAATGTTATTTTTTAAAAAATTAAATATGTCTTGAACATATTTATTATTCGTGTAAATCTGTTGTGTGATTGATGTGAAATAATTTCCCATTTTAAATATTTTATGGGAATTGTTATTATTTTCTTTATAAAGAGAGTTAAAATTTAACTTATTTACAATGAATGATTCAGAGAAACCTTTCGCCTGTCCTTCACCAGGATGCAATATGGTAATTTTATTTAATCTTTTTTTCTTAAATTTTTAAATTCATATTTTTACAGTCTACGTAATATATAGGTATATATATTTTTTAAAATATATTTTCCTTTATTTTAAAGTATCAGATAATTATAATTATATTCTTGTGATGCAGAGTTTTACCAACGAAGACCATTTGACAGTTCACAAGAAAAAACATGACATGATTTTAAATTTTGGAATGAATGGAAAATGTAATGGTTTTATAGGTAAGTTACTTATCAATTACAAGTTTATCATTACAAATTGTTAAATCAATAGATATTACTTTTACAATTTAAAATAATTGAATTTACAGTTTTAAATAAATTAATTATTTTATGCTCGAGACAATATTTTTTATTTTAATTTTTATTATAAATAAAACTTTTGTCTATAATTTTTTTTCGACGACAAAGAGAAATAATTTCAAAAACAGAAAAGAATAATTTTTAAATGAAATTTTGTTTCGAAAAAATTTTAGTTGATCAAACACCTACACCTACAAGATTTATCAGGAACTGTGAAGAAGTGGGTTTATTTCAAGATTTGCAAAATGTCAATCCTTTTGAAGAAACTTTCCGCAGAGCTGTAGAAGGAAAAACAGGATCGATTTCAGTTTCAGAAGTGAGTTTCTAATAAATTTCTCTTATTTTTTTTTTATTACTTAAAATTGCATTTCATTATTTCTGTGAAATTATTAATTAAGATAAAGGTATTTTATTATATTTTGTGTTTAATTTTTTTCTTCCATTTCAGGTGACAATTACAGATGACTCTCTAAATACACCACATATATTTCCACACAATGTCGATTGTCCAACTACTGTAACTATCACTGAAATGTCAAATGAAAAAAGTTCTACAGAGACAAAAATATGTAGCAGTACAGAAGTAAATAAAAAAATTTCTCAAGACGAGGAAATAGTAAAAAAATTAAAAATTACAACTACTTGTAAAAATAGTATTCAAACAACTGAGAGAATTGTTGTTCAAGAGACAGACACTTTATACATGCCAAAAATTCCTATTGCTCCTGCACCCACGCCATTGTAAGTAAAAAAAACAAGTAAAATAATTTCTTATTTGTTTTTATTTATTTTCGAATATTTGTAATTTTTTAATTTAAAACTCTTGTCCTGCTTCGTTTTTTGTTTTAAAGTTGAAGTAAACTTTAGAATTAATTTATTAAATTTAATTACAAATTTCTATTATTTTAAAAAAAATTATATTGAACACAAATAGTTTTCTTAAAGTTGATATAGAATAAGAAATTATAAGTTTACATTTGTTTTAAAAGGAACATAATTAAAGTCATTTTGTAAAGTTGAAATAAAAAAAAAATACTTTAAATAATAGTTAGAAACTTTTTTTATTATTTTAATATTCTTGTAGATCCATCGATGAAATTCAGTTGCTGTTAAAAACGTCAGATGGTAAATTATTGCAACTATCGGCAGTACCTGCGCCAGATTGTCAAAATAATGTCAATAAAAATCAACGTCAAAATATAAATAGCGATCTCATTTTAAAAGGAACCAATCAAGATTCAGAACAAAGTCACGAATCTCTTAAACTTTCAGCGGCAAAAATGGTAAATTTTCTTTTTCTATATTCTTGAAAAAAATGTGGAAGAAAATTTTTATTTACCGTACAATATTGAAATTTGATTGAAATGTTTTTATTTTATTTTATTTTTTTTAGAAATTAAAGCAAGTCTTAAACAAAAGTTCAACTGAATCGATAAATGAAAAAGTGGATAAAGAAGCGGAGAAAGGTAAAAAATCGTCATTATCCAAAGAGAATAGAAGGAAAGATATTGATGAAAATAAGAAGCAAGATTTTTTAGAAAGAAATCGTGCGAGTTCCATGCGCTCACGAGCAAAGAGAAAAGCATGGATTCAACAATTGGAGAATACGGTAAAATGTGTTAATGAAAAGAATGCTTCCTTACAAATGGAAGTGAGTACATTACGAAATGAGGTGGCAAAGTTGAAGACTCTACTCCTGGCTCATAAAGACTGTGCCATTACACAGGCAATGAAAAAAGGTAAAATTTAATTTTTAGTCAGTAAATTTTAATGAGCATAACAAAAAAAAATATCAGGTTTCTTTCTCCTATTTCCATATTTTTTTGTTATAAAAGAATTTCTTAAAAAGAAAATATATTAAATCATTGTTACAAAAAGCTTTAAAACTAAATTTTTTTTAAAAAATATTAAAATTAGAAGATTTAATATTTTTTTTAATTAAAATTGAATAATTTATTAATTTTTGACAAGAAATTATCTTTTTTAATTAAACTTTTACATTTTTTTAAATGAATATTTTAATCATTTGACGGAAAAATTATATTTCTAATTAAAAATTGAAAATAATTTGTTGGAAAAGAAATTAAAACTAGTTTAAAGAAACATTTATTGATTAAAATACTCATAGTTTCTATTTAGAGACAAATTCGAATTTTTGTATATATTTTATAAAGAGTTAATTTCTTTTTTTCTGAAACAAAAAAGTTGCAATTTTTACTTTAAAAATGTCAGATAACAAGATATAATAAAAACAACTTTTTGTTTGTAATTTTATTCAAAATATATTAATTTATTTTTAAGATTTGAATATAATAGTTAATTAACAAAAATAAAAAAAACATTTAATTTTTGAAAATAATTGAAATTTTAATGGGTCAGTCCAATGAATTTCGTCTAAAAACTGTTACAGTAAAATTTTGAAAAAAATTTAGTTTTGAAATATGTTAAACTTGAACATTTTCTTAATTTATTAATCATAATATAAAATTTTATTTTTTTGTATGAAATTAATAATTAAAAGTAGGAGGTTCCAGACCTCATTTGGTAACCTCAAATTTTGTACTTATTTAAAAAACATTGTTATTCGAAGAATATTTAATATTTGATAATGAGACTTACCAAAAGTATAAATTTCTTGGTTCTGTACTAAAAAATGATGAAATAGTTGCAGAAATATTCATCTTTAAAACAATAATCGTATTTGTAATTTTTCGGAGCATGTAACTTTTTTTGAGACTTCTTAAAAATTTGCGGTTTTGCAGATATTTTAATATTAATAAAATTTAGTTCTCATTGAAACTTGATGTAGGTGTTTTGCTTAATTTTAGAAATATAAAATTTGTTATTTAAAAAGGTTTATTTTTAATTGTCTAGTATTTAATTTACATGAAGGAAATATTAATTTATCAATATCAAGTGATACTTTAATAATAAATTTGTAAATTATTTTTAAAATTTCCTATTCTGAATTTTTTTCATTTTAAAAGCATTTTCAGAGTCGGCAAAAAAGTTCCTGACTAGAAAATTTTGCTATTTGATTTTATAATTTCTTTTAATAAAAATGGTACTTAAATTTTTCCCTGATATTTTTTTACGATTTATTTTTGTATTCATTAACTTTCTTTTTTTAGTAAAATTACATATATTGACTTTCTGTTTTCTGTTTTCAGGAAACAGTATTGTTGTGGGATCGAGAGTGAATATAATTACAACTAGTCCAGAAATTGTGTCTCCAATTATTGATACATCATTGAAACGATCATCAACATCACCTGACGGTCAATTTGTCACGAAAAAATTGTTATTGACAAAAAATACGACAATTTTACCAAAAAATGACAACATTGAAATTGAAAAAAATTCTGCAAAAGTGCGAGTTTTCAAAAAATTGCCAGCCTTAAAAATACGTGAAGTTCCTTTATGGATAGAAAATGAAAAAGAGAAGCAATTTTTAATAAATGAAAATTCACCAACAAAAATAAGCGAATCGACATCCCAAGGTATTATACAAATAAATCCCGTAATTCACGTTCAGAATGCAGCTTCTAAAAGCACCGGAACGTAAATTTACGGTTTAATTTTTCTTTTTTTAAAGAAAAAGTCCATTTATGAGATTAATGCACTCAGAAAAGCTGTCCAAAAAAATTCTGCAAAATACTCAGAACTTATTTAAAATATTATTAACTAAATGAAGTTTGAATATTTTGTTTTTTTGAATAATTGTTAAGTTTTTTTTTTTTAGAATTATAAGGATTTTAGTTTCATTACAAAAAAGTTTTTTGTTTTACATTTTTTTAATTTTCTTTTTTTTACTCATTAATTTTTTCATTTGTACATAGACACATTCATTTATCCATTATTATATTTTTATAAAATTATTTATAATATTATTAAAAAAAAAAGTTGTAGGTATTATATTAAAAAGTATGTTATAAGAAAAGTTGGACTGATAATGTAATTAATGAATTAACATGCTTCAGAAAGTAATTAAAATTTTTGGAAAATATTACTTTATTAACAAATTTATAAAAGTTTACAAATTTTATCAACACTGTTCTTTTATTTATAGTCGTAATTGCTTTATTGAATTGATTTTCAGTAGTATTTCCGTTGCTCTTGTATTAATAATGTAAATAATTAATTTTTTCGATATTGTGCGATTTTATCGATATTTCATATTCTATGACATTTGTTTTTGTTTTTCTCACGAATTTTGTTTATTTTATAAAATTTATAATTATAAAATATGTAAGATTTTGATATAATTATTTATGTTCGAATCGACAAGTAATTTGCGTGATTGAAAATAATAAAATTATTGTTATTAACATTTTAAATATTGAAATAAACTTCTTTTAAAATATAAAAGTACCAATATCATTTTTTTATAAACCTTTTTTTATAATATAATAATAATTTTTAACTTTATTTTTTTAAGTTTTTTTTTTTTATAAATTATTTATTATTATATAATTTTTTGTTTTTTGAGAAGGATTTTAAAAGAAGGAAGAAAGTTATAAATTAATCGTTTATTTTGAAAAATGTACATAAATTGGTATAGACAATATTTTCAATATTTTTTTTTTTCTAGTTGAAATGACATAATTAAAACCAATAAATTAATAAAAATAAACTTACCACGCCTATTTTAAATACTATTTTGATTTTTTATTTATTTGACAAAATTGTATAAAAGGATCTAAGGAAAAAATTGGGAAATTATATACAAAAAATAAAATTAAAATTTTGTATCATTTCTTTTTTAAATTTTTATCTTGTAGATTTTTTTGTCTTTCTTATTAACATATATATATTTGTATAGAAGATGATAAATATAGAGATTCTCGTAATGTTGTGAGCAGTTTGAGTCATTGAAGAATATAATAATTCAATTGTTGGGTTTTGTACACAATCCAGCGATGATTCTGTGACCCTCGGGCCCTTATCAGTTCTCCGTCCAGTCGTCTAATACTTCAACACCGGACAGGAGAATGATAAGGGGCTTTAGGCACTTTCTTCAAATATATGAAATGTCCATTTGTGATTGCCAATTCCTTGATATCATCCATTGCTCTGCAATGAAAAAATTAATTATTTTAGAAATCGGTCTTTTTTTAATTTAATAATGTAATACAAATCATAATCATTTTTATAGACCATTATGATTAATTTTCACATAAACTTTTCTATATTAATGCTAATAGATATTTTTTTTCTACATTAATATTTTATTCAAATTAATGCAATACACATTAAATAATTTTTTTAATTAATTTATTTAGTAAATTAGAATTTCAGATATTTTGATGTAAAAATACTTTAAATGAAAAAAATCATTTGAGAAATATTTAATTTGAATTTGCTGACAGAATTTTATGTGGATAATTTATTCTGATAAGAAAAAAAAGTACATGCACTCATGTATTCCTAGAATTATGAGTAAAGTTTGGATTTCATCTTTGTATTTACTCTTCCGTTCCTGTTTTTTTTTATCATCGGTAACTTCCGTCCTGATTGGAAAAAAATTAATAATTATATAATTTAAAAACTAAACGGAACGAAAAAAAGTAAAGTAAAATTTTCAAATATAAAAAATATTAAATATAATATAGTGTTTTTTTATAAATAAAAAATGTGAATGAATAATTAAAAAAATATAATTTGACGGAATAAAATACAGGAATACTATATTTATTTTTGAAACATTTTAAATATAAAAAATTCACTGAAATATTTGGGTAACATTTTCTGAAGTTGTGTTGGATGTTAGAAAATTATGAAATAACATATATAGAGAGGTCTGGTTATCTTTCAAACGACCTAAAATAACACATCAAGAATTTCGTTGATATTTGAAGTGACTTAAAAATTTTACGATCCTTGTGTTAATTTTTAAGAGTAATACAAAAGTTTGAGAATTTTTTGAAAATTTTAAAACATAATTCAATTTTTTTTTTTAAATAAAAAATTCACGGATTAAAAATTTTAAGAAATTTTTTTTTTTTTCATTTAAAAAGACCCCTTATTTGTACGATCGTATTAAAATTTAAGTGAAGCGCGTGAATATTATACAATGCTAAGGATTTTTTAGATTTTAACCTTGATTTGATTTGCTTGCTTCTCTTAGCTTTAACTGTTGAATGATACTGTAAAGCCATTCAGTTGATTCTGAAGAAGACTACACAATTTCCCAGAGCTACAAAATTTAAAAAAGATTACATTAATATAAAATAAATGTTTATTTAGAATTATTTATTTTTCTACAAATCCTTAAAAAATGAACATTTTTTTTCTATTTTTATTTACAAAATTATTTTTCAACTTCTATACAAAGAAAAAAAAAAAACAATTTCTAATTTGTAAAACTCGGAAAAATACAATAATAATTTAACATGACCCTCATGTACTGTATATTAGTAGTTTTTAGACCTTGAATTTAATAAATTACAAACACGTTTACTCTCTGGGCGTTCTTTTTTCAAAGAAACGATAAATTAAAAAAGAAACCTTGCACTTTAGCAAAATTTTTAAAACATAATGGATTATTTAAGATGAAAAAAAAAAATTAATTAAAAATTATTAATTTGGACAAAACATCAATGAATATTTTAAATGAAAAAAAAATATATTACATTACATCTTAAATGTTTGTGAATACAAATTATTTTTACATGTAACATAAAATATGAATACCAAAAGATAATAAATAAAATAAAAATTATTTAATAATAGATCAAATTATTTAATTTATCTATATATTATAAAAATTCAATTCAATTTTAATTATTCAAATTAATAATTTTTTACTGAAATTTATGTTTTTAATATGTTTTAAAATTTGTATAATTATAGAAATATCTTGAAAATAGAATATATATATTTTAAATTACTTATATTTTCTCGATATTATTTGTAAGGCAAAGGTTATTTAGTTTCGAGATTACTTAATTAACTCAAGATTGTAAAGGAAAAACTATTTCGTAATTTAATTTACAGTAATGACAAAGAGAAATCTAAAACTAATAATTACGGAACAAAAAAAATTTTTTACAAAAATTAAATATTATCATTAAATGCTTAATTTTTTGTTAATTTTCTCTATATAAAATTTACGAATAGCAACAATTTTAGAGAAATTTAATTTATATTTAATTTTTTATCTACAAAATATTGATTATTGAAAAAATTTTAAAAACTTTTTCATTTATAACTCGAGGCAAAAAAAGTTGAATAATTATTAAATATAATATTATATTACATTTATTAATTAAAATGAGATATGCAAGTCGAATATTAATTAAATAAATAACAAAATCAAAAATGAATAATTTAATTTAACAAATGAAGAGCTCGACGGAATAACGATCTATGGCACAATTGAAAAGTTTGGTTATGAGCTTTCAAAAAACGTAAATTTTTTATTAAATTGATAACAACTGTAAGCGAATTATTATTACTAATAGAATTAAAAATAGTTACTAAGTGTAAAAAAAATGTTTTTTAGCATAATTAAATTATTTTAATAATAAATTTATTTATTTATGGATTTAATATACATAACAGTATTATCGTTTATTTTTAAATAAATGAAATTAATATCTCAATTATTAATAAAAAAAATTTATGTAAATTTTTTGATAAAATTTCATCGAAATTTTTTTTTTACTTTTTTTTTCAATCATAAATTATTTGACTGTAATAAGACAAATGTTTAGAACAAAAAAAATCATTTTTAATAAAATAACAAATTAAAAAAAAAACATAATTAACACTATAAATGATTGAAATAACTTATGATTTGGCAAAAAATAAAAAAGAAGGGAATACAATTTTTCTTTTTGTTACTGTGGCATAATGAACTGAATATGAAGAATTTGAGTTGTTTAAAAGATAAAATCAAATAATGTACACGATCTGGCAGCCTTGAGACGTTCTGGTTTCTTTATTTTTACGTTGGACGAGAGAGACGAGACAACGTTCCAGACGTTCGTCAGATTCCAAATGCGTAGTTTTTCCGACATTATAAATTTATTACACACTGTCAGTGATTACAAATCGAGCTTCGTTCAATTTTAAAAAAGCTTCTTTTCTATTCTTTTTTTTTTATTGCTTTTTACTCCGCACGCACTCAATTCACAAAAACCACTTTGTATTCGTTTTGAGATAAAAGGTTTCGACATGACGCTCGCGATTGATCGAACTTTATCGCACTCTAATCAAAGTCTTTCGAATTCCTCCGTTAAACTCTTGTGCCGCGATCACGTGACTACAAACCACAATTACTTTTTAACAATAAAAAATGATGTAAAAAAAATTTTTTGGTTAAAAACTTGTTTTTTTAAATACAGATTTAAAAAAAAGTTTTCTTTTTTATATAAATGAGATTTTTTTCTATTTCATTACGTTTTTTTTTGTATTTCATTTAATATAAATTTATTGTTTAATCAATTTTTTTTATTTTGTAAAAAAAATTAAAAAATTATAAATATAATTGAAAAGAAGAAATAAAAATTAAAATTGTGTTTTGTTTTAACAAAAATATTCTTGATAATTATGCATTTAAATTTATTCCATTAATTAAACAAAAGAAGGAAAGAAAGCAAATTTTGAGGAAAAAATATAATAATCAATTTTACTAATTTTATCACAATTTATGTGAATATAATAATTTTCTGAATAAATGTTCTAAATTTATACATTTTCATTTGGGAAATTATATAGTTAAAAATATATTTCTATTTCTGAATTGTATATATATGTATTTGTATGAATTCTCAATTATTTTCCTCAATTTACAACAATATAATTTTTATTTCACTTGAATTTATTATCTTTTTTTGTCTTTTACAAAAATTGAAATGTAAAAAAATTTTTTTTTCACTTTTTGATAAATAGAATAATTTCGGAGCACATGTCACTGAAAACGAAACCAACTATATGTTCTATAAGAACTGAAAAAGCCGACTTGGAGAATCGTTTGAGTTTGCTCAGCATTCACTCTCTGGATCAGATAAATGGTGGGGACCCGCCCAGGATCGACTCAATAATGGGGGCAATAAAAAAAGATTAGTAAAAAAAAAAAAGAAAATTTCACAAGCACAATTAATTTAGGTCCCTTAATCTTTTAAAGGTTTAAAAAAAAAATTAAGTGTAATATATAATTTTATTTATTGTCATCTTATTATTATTTATTTAATTACGAATTATTTATTTTATTACTATTGATTTTTCATGAAAAATTTTATTCAAACACATTTGAAAAAAAAATTTCCTATTATAACAATAATAAATTGTTGATATAAATAAATTATTGTATAATAAATAATATAAATTTAGAGTCTATTTATGTAAATAAACATGTTATAAAGAATAAAAAAAAACTAGTATTTGATAACAATTAAATATTTATCAGACAAGGGATCTTGACATTAAAATTCGTCCCTACATCTTTCGTCCTTGTTTAATGTTCACGAGATCATGTAACACCAAATCGGAACCCCATCGTTCTATAATCTCTCCCTTTTCTCTCTCTCTCGATTTTTTCTATTTCTTGTCTTCCTCCCCCCCCCCAGGTCCCTTTTCACATTTTCTTCACTGGTTCTTGAACCATCGAGCAAAGGGAAAATCGAGCAATAAAGAGGGGTGAAGCCCATTGCAATAGAGAAAGACGAAAGAGGAAGTGAAAGAAGGACGGACATTACCACGAAGAAGATGGGAATTGAATTTTATTCCGGAAGGGAAGCTGTGCGACACGTTGACGGGAATGAACCAAGAGAACTGAAGGGCAATCGTACATCTCTTTAAAAAGAAGAAAAAAAAACCACCAAAGAAAGAAAGAAGAAAAAACATTCTCTATACTCACTTCCATCTTCCCTTTGTGATTCACTTAATTATAAATTATGTCAGAGAGCAATCACACAACTACAATAGAAATTTTATGTAAAGTAATCAACAAATTTTTCAATTTTGTTTATATAATTATATGTTAATATGGAATAAAATCAAGAATAGAATTTTTAAAAAAAAGAGATACAAAAAAAAAATTTTTTCTTCAAAAAAAAAAAAATTAGAAATATTCCAAGGAGAATAAAAAAAATATTATCTATTCCCATCAGAAATATTTTTAATATCAATCGAGATATATTCTTGTAAAATATTTCACAAAAATATTCAAGTAATATTCTATAAAAATATTTCAATAATATTTAACAAAAATTATTCTTACAATGTTTTAAAAAAACAATTTTTTTTGCAAATGTCTAAAGAATATTCCTAAAAGTAATATTACATAAAAATATTTCAGTAATATTTAACAAAAATATTCTTATGCAATGTTTAAAAAAAAATTCCTGCAAATTTCTAAATATTCCACAAAAATACTCTACTAAAATTCCTGCAATATTTTGCATGAAATATTCCTAATATTTCACAAAAATATTTTTGGAATATTTCTATACAATATCATGTACATAAAAATATTTCTGCAATATTTCGATTAAATATTCCTGCACTATTTAAAAAAAATTGATACAATTTTAGAATATTTAATATTTTAATAATAATATTTATAAATATTAATATTATAATATTAATATTTTATATTTTAATATAATATTAATATATTTCATATAAATATTAATATTAATGCAATATTACCTATATCATTATTATATTATTAATGCAATATATTTTAATTTGTAATGTTAAATTCCTCAAGAATATTTTTATAAAATATTTGACATAAGAATTCACTTTACTAAAATTCCTATACAATATTTTCAACAATATTAGGTATTTAATAAAAATATCCCTGGGAATATCCACATGATATGGCAAAAAAATCTTTTTCTAATATAAACAACTTCACAATAAGAATTTTCCTACAATATTCTGAAAGAATTTTTGTGAAATTTTTTATTTTAATAATATTCCAATGAAATATTCCTTCCATTTATATATAACGGTCAAAAACGTTCTCTTGCAGTATACAAAAAAAAAGAAAATATTCCTATAAATATTTGACAATAATATTCCGTTGGAATACATTTAAAATATTCCAAAAGAAAATAATTAACAAGTGTAACATTAATTTATTGCCTAGGATAGTTTTTAGAAAAATGTAGAATATTACAGGAATATGAAATAGATTTTTTCTTACTATTAAAGTGAGGAAATTTATCTTAAAATTCATAATTA